GCAGCACTACTAACATGCGCACTATTGTATATTCTCCATTTCTCTCGTGTCGCCGCGCTCCTAGTGGAGTCCTATTGCCTCTTTTCCCGTCGCGCTATAGCGTGCCTACGATATCATTTTAAAGAGTGCATGCATATTCATTTATAGATGTGTTTGCCCATGTTTCCCAAAAGCTTGGGTTATACAGTCGTCCGCACCTTAAACCGACAGAGATCGACGACCGTTTTTGGCGGTCAAAATATTGAACGCAAAGCTTTTATGCATGCCAAACGCACTGTAAATCGATAGTCAAGACAAAGAGGAACACCTTGACAGTTTGATCTTCTTCGTAGCATGTTTAGTTGTGGAGAATTTGAAACTCGAAGTGAGGTCATTTACAGAGGCGGAGGCTCAAATATGTCCACCCTGACGGTGTGTACACCGGGTCGCCACACCCATTAACTGGATGAAAAGACGCTATCCGAATGATGTGCCCCGGGTCATAGTTATTAGCACTCAGCCATGGGGCGCAGGACCAAGCGCTTTGCAGCTGGATCGCGCCAAGGCGGCTCGTGAGGCCAAGCGTCAAGCACTTGCGCTAGGCGGCGTCACCGAACTGGACTGCCAAGAGAGCGACAGCAGCGAAGAAGAAGGCGACCGCGCTCACGAGCCTTGCCGAATGGTACTCGTACGTCCTTTGATCCACCCTTTGGTACCAACTGACGAATTCCATTAGGAAGAGCCGCATGTGTATGAAGTCGACTTGGATAACGATAACGAGATCAATCTTTGGAGCGAGCTCGATGCGTGGGGCGATGCTGTGCAGCCAGACCTTGGCGCAACGTATGCAGCACGAAAACGGGGCGCCCAAAGGCCTTCTCACGATCCTCCGCGAGCGCGAGATACTCGGCCCTTCGGAGACGATTCGCGGACATTGCAGGAAGACGCCCTGTGCGACTGAAGAACCGTATTCTTGCTGCGCGGTCAACTTACTCGACCACCAACCCGACTTTGCCGCTCAGAAGTCGATGCTTGAAGAGGTCTTTAAAGGTAGCGGTCTCCCCAAGTTCCATCTCGAGTTCAACCCGATCGAAAATTATTGGGGCAGCGCCAAGGTCTACTGCTGCCAGCACTGCGACTACACGTTCAAGAGCCTTCACGAAACGATTCCATCGGCTCTCGCTCAAGTCCCTCTGCAGCATGTTCAGCGCTTCGAGCGGCGTTGTCATCGCTACATGCAGGTGTACGCAGCAGGGCTTCCACCGCATCTCGCAGAGTTTGCCGTCAAGAAGTACAAATCCCATCGCTCCATTCTGTCGGTGTTCCTTATGGAACGCATGGAGGCCGAATTTGCAGCTAAAAAGACCCAGAAACCAACGTATATTTGCCCTCTTTTCTTCTCTTGTGCGTTCTTCAGCTCTCTGCGGTGTCAAAATGACGCTAGGAAGGTTTTACGTATTGAAAATTTTCCGACCAAATTTGTCCACTTTGACTGAAATTGTCGGGTTAAGCTGCGGGCCACTATAGACATAAATCCATGTCGAATAGTTGATTGTAGACGTCATGGGCCATGTCCTTGTCGACGCTAGAAAGATTGCGAGGCATCGAATAGTCTTTTGGATCAATTGTGGACGTCACTGACTGGATTCACTCGACTAGGAGAAGAAAAATAAGGTCGCTGGCTGTAAAGAAAAAGTGCAGCGCATACCAAGGTTCGATGTCCGGACCAATGTTTTGTCTGGTACTCAAAAACTGCAAGACGACGCAGGCATTGTGCAGCAATTATCATCACGTAACGAAACTCCATCACAGTCAACTGATTCAACCAGTGCCTGTACAACATTTTGCTGCTCGCACTACCGTAGCTGCAGCGCGTACTGTGCAGCCAATCTACTTGACGCCAAGCGGTACTCAACAGTGGTCGTGCTACCCTTGTGCACCATTCACCTTCAACTTGCATCATCTCAAAGAGAGGAGCCTGTGCCCTGATACTAATAACGTTATGGTACGTACAAAAGTAGTGCAACTGCAAACGGCCATCGTCCCAAGCGACAAGCATCCATCGACCTCTGTACAAAACAAACAAGAAAAATGGATATTCACAGGTTTGCATGCATTACTTGGCGTGCGCCGCTTCCCACTCGAGCACCTTGGGGTGGGCCGCAACCGCGTCGGCGATCGCGTTCCAGCGCGCATATGCGTCCAGAATCGTCGTCGGAATGCCGTCGAGCCAGCCCGACGCCATCATCTTGCGCGCGCCGTAGAGCTCGAGGTCCGCGATCGAGAGCTGGTCGCCGAGAAAGTACGTGCCCGTCACAGGCAGACGCGCCTCGATGCACGCAAAGTGCTCCGGAAGCGGCCCCGCGGCGGCTTCTTCACGCAGCGCGAGGCGCTTGGCCGGGTCCTGTTCGCGGAACGACGGCATGAGCTTGGCGAGCGTATCGTCCGAGGCCGCGAGGAGCTCGTCGACGCGGAAGGCCTCAAGCGCGTCGGTCGGGTACAGACCCGAGAGGCGGCCGGCGTAGCGCGCCATCGCGTGCGACTGGGCCATGACGACGCCGTCGACCGTGAGCGTCGGCACCTGCTTGAACGGCAGCGTCGGCTTGACCGCGCCAAACTGCTCGCGCGTGAGGCGCTCGTCCTCGAACGGGACGCCACCCGCGTGCAGCGCCAGGCGCACGAGCTCGGCGCGGCCCGTCATGTCAAAGTACGTCAGCTTCAACGTGGGCAAGGTCATACTGCTGGTTCTTGTTCGTGGGGTAAAAACAAATGTGCGCTCACGAAAGGCGCGCGCCGCCGACGATGAGCGATCGCCGGTGATTGAGTGATCACGTCGTGACCTCTAAGACGATCTTTGCGTTGACGCGGCGTGTGGTGGCCGTGATCCCACCCGAAACCAGCTGCTGGGACCTGTACGGCAGGCAGCGTCGAACGTCGCCGACTTCGGCGCGATCGACCAAGTCCGACGGCGGTCATGGGCATACCAATCAGTATCATGGATCGTTCTAGGGTATAACAGATCGGTGTGTTTTGAGCTCTAGTCCTCGGTCAGTCATGTTGCGAAAAAATCGAATTGGATTTGGTTGCCGAGGCAGAGTGCGTTGCTCTGGACGACAGACACCACCTCGGTGGCCGAGGCTTGGTCACACGCGTCGTCACCACGTGATCACGCGTCGCCACAGCACGTTGGCGCCAGCGTCAACCGATTCTCAACCGCAACCTCAACGATTACCAACGGTCGTGGCGCATCCGTACGCGAAATCGAACGGTTGTCCCACGTCGCGCAGCCCTCGTGCATGGCCACGCAAGCCACAAGACGTTGGCCGGGCACGACGTACAGTACCGGTACTGTGGGCCCCGTCCTGAAAGCAAACGACTGGGCGAGCGCTCAATTGGCCAAAAGGATTTGCAATGTCGCACCAATGGCATCGCGAGAAAGATCGGATTTCAGCCAATCGCATCCTCGCTATGCTTTCCATCGCCACGTCGTCTCGCCATTGTTGCTTTGCCCATGACCCGCCCAACGCTCAAACTGACCTACTTTGACTCGCCTGGCGCTCTTCCTCCACGACATCCGTTACTTGTGGCGGCAGTGACAGGTCCTTATATTTGATTGGCGCCAATGTTGTTGCTGCGAGTTGCGGCAATGGCATCTCGAGAAAAAAGATTGCTTTTCAGCCAATGGCATCATCCACTGTCCCATGCGTACTCGTCCAAATCCAACCTGCCGCCCGACAGCTCGATGCGACCGCTCTTCTCGTGCACTATCGATGGCCACATTTTTGGCCAGTCGCTCGACGCGGTGGGCTGGCTCTGTACCGACGTCGAAACGCGCTTGACGCCAACCGCGTCGCTACGATCCACGCCAAGAATCTCGTTCACTCATCGCTCTTGAAGCGCTTAATGCGGATGCGAAGCTCGCCATGCGCCTGCACGGTCCAAGCGCCTTCAAGGCGATCGCCACCGAGGTGCTGCTCTGGCAGGTTGGCGCCCCACAACATGTCGTCAGGCTCGGTCTCTCTGAGAAACACTGCTGAGGCGCAACATACGAGCACGAGCCCCTTGCGCAGCTGTGCGTTGGTCCGCCTCGGACGTTTTCGAGCTCGCCAGCACCATCACGTGTCTCTCACCTCTTTTCTGTGGCGTCTCGCGGACTGTGCACGTGGTGCTACCCCGCAGGCCCGCCCTGCACGTCTTGTCGACGCTATCCTCTGCCATCCTCTCGCAAAGTCCTACCGTCATCAGCTTGGTCGCACAAAAGATTTCCTAGGGCTACGTCAACCATGACGCACTGCCTGCTCGCCGATGAGTAGCACAATCCGAGAAAGAGCTCCTGCCTCTGCAGCAGGGGGAGAAGGAATTGCATGAGCGACACCGAGAAGGCGATTAGGATGATAAGACAGGATGGAACGCCAAGGGAAATGGGCTCGTCGAGCGCATGAGCACCGATGGCCGGTGAACCAAGCCTGTCATCAGGCAAGACCCTCCTCACCAGAGCTTTCGCGCACACGTTTCGCGCCGGCGCCGACACAGCCAACGAAGGTCCGCACGCCAAAAAGAAGCAGGCGGAGACACGACCACGGGACAGCCTGACGACTGCCGCGCTGCAGGTCACCCGCCGCTCGGCACCCGCCCATCGGCACGCAGTCGCAAGGTCCGTTCGTGGTCTCGCTGGCACCAGGGCCACCACGGGCCAAGCAAACGATCCAACTCTGACGCGAGAAGACGACGACCAACGAACCAACGTTTGTGTCATGCATACTTGTTGCGCATCAAAGTCTGGTCTGGTCCGCGACCACATTTCTGACATCGCACTCCATTTCTGAAATCGCCCAGTAGTCTCGTCAGAGCTAGTCTCGTCGTGGAGGAAAAAAGCACGACCCGCACACACGCAGTAGTCCAGCCGACCTTGGACCGAGGACGGAGCATTCGACATACTATTGATCTCCGCCCACCCTGCTCTTCCTCCCGTGGTATCAATCCATCAAAGTATCAACGTATCAAAATATCTCATTTCCGCCTTAGACGTCGACGGCCGCCGTCTTGTACGTGGCAATCACCACATCGGGCGTCGTCGTCGTGGCGACGCGGAGAGTCGCGAAGATGTCGGCGGCGAGCACTCGCTTCAGGCTCGGGCGGCGCGCCGGTGTAAAGTCCACAAGGCCTTGGAGCAACGTGAGCCCATCGATCGCTACGAGGCGGGTGCGGGCCGCGACCACGGCCTTGTGCGTCCCCGTCGCGAGCGAAAACGCGGCGACGTCGGCGTGAAACTGCGTGGCGTCCGGCGACAACCGGCGCGCGTTGGCCTTTCCGAGCAGCTGGGATCGGAGGGCGGTCGCGACACGTGACGTGCTCTGAAGCGAGTCCAGGCCAAAGAGCACACAGTAGCGATACAGGGTATCGCAGAGCACGTCGCTGTGGCTGGCGTCGCGCCGAAGGACTTTTTGAAGAATCGAAAAAGCCGGCGCCCCCTTCGTCGCACGCTTGACCTAGACGCCCGTGGGCTACTATAATAGCACTACTACATGTGCACTACCTTCCAGAGACGGAGGAGCGTCGCCTTGAGACCTTTCGGGCACACGACGTCGACCAAGAGCTCTTCGTAGGGCAGACTACGACACCACACGCGTCGTGAGAATCCTGCGCATCTCTTGCGGCGACAGACCTGCCAGTGGCGAGGTGCAAAAGGCACAAGCCCAAGGCAAACGTATCGACGGCATATCCCTGGACCGCGTCGTCGCCGTCGACGAAAAACTCGATCGGGGCGTTCTCGTACGTGGTCCACTGTCCATATATCGTACATTGTACATCGTACAAGGTGAACGTACGTGCTCAAACCCGATCGGCGCGGTGAGCGAGCCGTCCTGTGTCGTCGCCGAGCCAAAATCGGCGAGCTTGACCCATGCAGAGGCCGCGAGCGAGTACGTGGCGCCATCAAACTCGTACGCAACGACACCCGCGTCGTGGGATTGGAGGAAAAAGTTCAGCAGCTAGTTTGTCACATGTCCACCAGACTAATCGAGACTACGCAACCCGTACCTTGATGTCAAAGTGCCGCAGCGCGTGCGTGGCGCGGCCCGTGTAGAGCGCAAAGCACATTTGGAAAAAGTAGGCCGCCACGTCGTGCGCGTCGAGGGACCCGTGGGTGCGCAGGTAGTCTTCGACGTTGCCGCCGTCGCAGAGCTCCATGCGGGTGTAGAGGTATCGGCCCGTGGCGTCCGTCTAATCGACCATTGTCAGACCAGGATATTCCTTTCACTTGGCAACCGCACCGGCAAGGCCGGACCGCCCCAAACCGCAGGCGCGGCGGCACCGGCAAGAAACACGTCGTACAGGCGAACAAAGTTGGGGCACACATTGGACGCGACGAGGTCCGACATGAGCAGCGACGTTGCAATCTCTTGCCGGACAATGTGCTACAAAAAACAGTGTATCCACCAGTGTATCCACCCAACAGGAAAATACAGTACTTCATTCCCGAGGGCTTCGATCGCGCGCACGTCCATGACGCTCATGGCTTCGTCGTGCTTGGACGCGACCGCATGGACCTGCGCAAGATCGATACATTGATACATTGATAACTTCGGACACCAAGGGGTACCTTGTATACGCGCTTGTACGCGCCGTCGGCGAGAAACTGGCCGCGCGGGTACAGGTCCATCAAGGCCTGCTCCATTAACGGCAGCCTAGCATAGCGTATGGATGGGATGCGAGCGGTATCAAGACGAGCGTACGCCGTGTAGTCGGCGCGGGTCCACGCTTGCACCCTAGAAAAGCTCGCGTCAGCACGCATGTTTCAAGGGTACGACAAGTCTTTTACGCCGAGCAGGTGTGGTGCCAATGCTTGCTGACGCTAGCGACCTGCGGCGTCATTTTGAGAAAGCCCGACGAGAGCACGAGCGTTGCGACGGCGTCCGGCAAGACGGTTGGCGTCACGATGACCGTCGTCGATGGCACGAAGAACGACGAGCGCCGGGGCGCGTGCTCGAAAAACGACAAGCGGCGCTGGTGGTTGCGCTGGCGCTTGGTCTGCACGAATGCGAGGTCGTCCCGCGAGAGGTTGAGGAGCGAGAACGATACGTTGGCGTCGGTCGAGGCGTCGTGGAGCCGGGAGCGCGACGGCAGCGACGTGTCGGTGCTGCTGGTTTCTTCTCGAATCGGCGAGATCGCGCCGCCAACGATCGCAGTGGGCTTGGCGTGCTTGACGAACGCGCCAAAACTAATGCGCTTGGCGACAACCACGTCGCTCATGTCGTCGTCGTCGACGTCGAACGACACGTCCAGCGAGTGCTCGTCGAGCTGCGGCGAGATCTTGGCGATAGGGCTCGGATCGACGCCGAGGCGGTGCCGATGGAGCCGCGCGGGCAAGATTGGCGACGTGCCCCAATGCAAACGCGGGTTGGACGCCATGGTTGGGGACGGGCGCGCAGCCGCCGGCGACGGTGCAGCGGGCGACGGTGCAACCGGCGGTAGTGCAACGGGCGCCGAGACAAACTCGAGCGACTCGTCCAGCGGCAGCGCAAAGTTGTGGATGTACGCCTTTGTCGACTCGCTCCTAGGAACACAGGTCGACGGAGCATCGATGATGGCGGGCGACGTACATGGCGGAGGGGTGGACCGTCGGCTGCAACGCCTTCAACAAGGTCGCGGCCTGTTTGTTGGAGATCCGGTACACGTTCGTACTCTTGTGCGCCGTGAACCCAAGCGACTCGAGCCACTCGGCGAGCTTCTTGGTCTCGTCACCGGTCCACTCGTCGCCGGTTGGCAGCGGGATGATCGAGCCAAGGCCAAAGCCAAACGCAAAACTCAGCTTGGCCTGGACGCTCTCCTTGAGCGACTCGACGAGGTACGCGACGAAAGGCGCTGGCGCGTCTCTCGTCTTCTTGGCGGCCGACCGCTTCGTCGTCTTGGCCCGCTACGCACAACGGTGGGTATGCAGGGCAGCGCGCTGCGACGCGATACCTTGGCCGGCGGCTTGGCCGAGCGCGATCGCTTGCGCGGCTCAAAATCGAAGCGATCGCCATCTTCGTCGGAGGAGGACACGGGCGACATGCACGCGCGTCGCGTCTTGGGCCCGTCAAAGGCCGGACTCGCCATGTCCGCGGTATAGCGCCCCATCGTCGCGGCTTGGTCCAATGCGAAATATGCTGCTGCCTTGGTATCGTATCCGGAAAAGGTACCTTCAACCGGAAAGCCTGGTCGAGATCCGGAAATCACACGTCGCGCCCGGATACGTGCAGCGGCATGTTGGCGCGAAGAGGGGATATGCCAGAAGGTGCAAAACGACTTCGACTCTCCTACAGAGCGCATACTTGCATGCTAGCATTTTGAAGTTTAAATAAATGGCTAGGTATCGCTCTTTTGAGAGTCGAAAACTAGGACCAAGCGGGCAAGAGCTCGCTCAATTCGGCACAGCGCGGAGCTTGGACGCAGATGGGACGGACAAAACAACCTTTGAACATGACTCGCTCATATGTAGTCAGTAGGTATACAATGTTGTCATGTAGGGAGCCCAAGAGGCTCCGTCGAGTCGGTGGTCGAGGTACGATAGCTCGCTTGCGTTTTCACTGCTTGACGGGTCAAGCTCGTTTGCGATCGAGCAAGGGATCTTGGCTTACTGTTTTGACAAGTGGACAAGCGACGCGGCGCAGAATGACTTGATCCTTCCCAATGAGCTGTATCGACGGACCAGGTCGAGGCATTTTCGTATCGCGACGCGGTGAGGTCGACCAAGCAAGCACCTGACATCAAAGCACATCTAAATATGGTTATCTGTTTCCTTTTGGCATTTACCACAAATACGTAGTTGGCGGCGCATAGCTTTCACTTGACGCCTCGAACGGCGAGGTGGTATAGCATGCTAACATGTCTGCTACCATTGCGTCAATCAGAAGCGATTTCATTATAGAGCGTGATTCGCGCGCTCCATTGCATCAAGAAGCGGGGATTTGCAGTGGCATCGCGTTGGTTCCTCTGATGTTATTGGTCCATTTTATCCATTTTCAGCCAATCATGGTCAAGATAGTCTAGGCGTGCTGACGCCAGGGCGCGTGGTCGCTGAAATCACATCCCGAAATGAAATCGCTCGTGCTTGGCACGATGCTAGAACATCGTTTGGAGAGCACAGAAAGCGACGTCGCGTCGGCGTTCGAGGGGTACAGTAAGAGCTACACGTCGCCAAGTATGTATATGTGGCATATTTACGATATATAGTCACATATACCATATTTATGTTGCCCGACTCCATTCAATATGTCGCTGCATCGTTCTAACAACCCGAGCCACGTTGCCGTGACCTCAACCCGCAGTCGCTCGATGCCATGCTATATTACTGACCCGTGAATGTTGGTCATCGATGGACTCAACCTTCGATCCCTTCGATATACACTTGTAGAAGCGCGATGCCGACGGGACGTGGAGCTGCAGACGTGCGGTTGACAAACAAATCGTCAAGCACGGGACTACGACCGATATCGTATCGCCACAAGCCAATCTCACGAAAAATAGCCACGAAAAAACGCATTTCAACACAAAATCTTACAATCGGCTGCAGAAAGACGCAAGCGGTAGAGGCCGCCATGTTTTTTACATACCAACCTTGTGTTTTAAACATGGCATGCGACTGGAGACGCATTTCGAAGCGCGCTAGGGTGCTTTCCAACGACGTGATTGCATGCAGAAGTGTGCAATGCTATTACTACGTACAGCCATGTCGACATACAAGGATGAAGAAGACGAGTGGATTGACATCACCACACATACAGTGTCTCAGATTGTTGAAATAAAGATGCGCGAAATGTGGGCAGGCCGTCCAGGATCGATCCGCGGAAGATCGCTTGACGCCAAAAATGATGGAACAAAAGTGAAGAATTGGCTGCCACTGCAAAATATAGCTGTCGCAATCACGTGCCACGTGCCACTGGCAACGTCCTCGACATCGCAGGTCGACGATCCCACGCAGCGCCCGTTCAAGAAGGTGGGGCTGGTGTCGTCACAATCACTGGATCGTGCTCCGAATGGGATCGCTCGGTCCTGGTCTTTTCTGCTAGAACACCACGCACGGCAACACAAGTCCGATCAAGTAGTCTCCAGGCCATACACTTTACTCGGCCATGGTAGCATGCAACTCGTCGTGGCCATGGAGTCACTCGTGTCGTGGCCATCACGTCGAGTGTCGGACACTCGCCGGCGCCGTTGGACACACGGACGTTGTGTCATTGAAAATAAAAAGTTATTGTTATTATTATTATTATTTTGCATATCGTAATATCGGACCACGCGAAAAATCACATTTCGGCCAATCACAAACGGTCGCAGCGTTACGTCTGGTGTTTAAAACCATAAAATACACACGCCCTGTCTCCTGATGCCCATTTCGAGTTTCGCCGCATTCGACGAGCATGGCGACGACGACGACGTGGGAAGGCTGGGTGCACAAGCATGGCGGGCTCTTCCCGAGCTGGAAGAAGGTCTACCTCGTCGTGCGCGGGCGCCAGCTCGTGTACCTCGACAGGGAGGCGAGCAACCCGCGCGCGAAGGAGAAGGCCAAGGCGACGCTGACGGCCGTGGCCCGCAGCACCGACGTCAAGAACGGCTTGACCATCACGGGCGCCGACGGCAAGCACGCGCGCATCTACACAAAGACGAGCGAAGAGGTCACGGGCTGCCTCAATGCCATGAACGCGGCGCTGCGTCCCGAGCCCAAGCCGCGGCCGTCCATGGACGGACTGCCCGCGACGCACGCCGGCTGGCTCGGCATGGACGCGAAAGGGCCCAAGAAATGGTACTTTGTGCTCACGGGACCGGATCTGAGCAACTACGATCGCATTGGCGGCGCCGAGATTGGCCGCGGTCGCCTTGCCGACATCCAGCCCGCCGAGCGCCCGACGTCGTTTGCGTTTGTCTTTACAAACGGTCGCGTCTTGCCCGTCGCGGCCGAGTCCGCTGCGGACGCCGACGCCTGGATCAGCGCCGTGTGCAGCGTTCTCAACAAGCCAAAGCCCATGGCGCCGCGCCACTCGATCGACGCACCACTTGCCGGTCGGCCGTCGTCGCGCGAGCTGGACGAAACGCCAGTCTCGGAGCCCAAGCCCGTCCGCGCGCCCGTCGTAGTACCGCCGCGCAGCGACCTGACGCCCGTACGACAGCCACAAGTGCAGCACCGAGTGCAGCACGAAGCGCCAGTGCAACACCATGCACCGACACCAGAACCGACGATCGCGCCGCCGATTGTGCCCGAGCCCGAGGTCAAGCAACCCGACTTTACGCTGCCGCCGCCCGTCTCGAGTGGAGGGATGAAGCCGCGCAAGTTTGCGCCGGCGCAGCCGCCGAAAGCGCCGCTGATGAAGCCGCCGCGCGCGCCGCAGCCTCTGGCGCAAGAAGCTCACTTTGCCAACAACGCGGCCGAGGTGTGGCAAATGACGGACCCGTCGCTCGTGCAGGCGTGGGTCGAGCACGGGAAGGCGGCGCCCGTGTCCGCGCCGATGCCGCCGCCGCAACCAACGCAGAAGCTCTCGTCGTTTTTGGACAAGTACAACGTGCGGCCAGAAGGCATGGCCGCATCGAATGCGCAGACGTCATTATAAGAAGCGAAGAGACCGATTTGTTATTGCATGCCTCGCTCTCTCTCCATGAGACGGACCTTATAGATTTTGGACCAGCTACGACGTCGAGAAACTCACCGCGCTGGCGCAGCGCAAGGAGCTCTGGACCGTGCGGACCGACCAAGCCGCCACGTAGTTCTACCGATGCTGGCGTTCTCTTCCAACGTTGGCGTCGCCTTGCATGCCGACGGGAGCCATCTGCCTTGCCAGCCTCGTCTTCTTGTCAATTGGGACCTTTTGTACCACGCGTCCTCGTTGACGCTTGTCTCCAAGCACGACGCGGTCGATTACGTCCGTGCACGTACGACTATGCGACAATTTACTGCTAAAGTGTCGTACGATGACCAAGTGCTGGTGCCAGCTTGCACGCATTCAGACTACGTATGCGACGCCTCAGAGTTGGTTTTGATCATTTGCGACCACGCTTGGTTGGTTGATTGATTGATTGATTGATTGATTGATTGATTGAGTGTAGTATGGCATCAAGTATCGCACAAGGTGGTCGACATCGCAGCAACGGGGGACGCGGCTCGCAGAAACATCGAGCTTGTAGACCTGCATGTCGGTTGAGACTGTATGGCACCGCTCCTTGTACGGACACTGGCGTCCTCGCTGCCACGGTCGTGGCCTTCGTGCTCCCTGCTCTCGCGTCCGTCGGTCGCGGGCCAAGGCGTCGGCCGACTAGTAGACACCCTGTGCAACACTATAGTGTACTGTCGACTCGGTGGGATGCTTTAAATGAATGATGCCATGCAGCAACGTAACAACGCATGCAGCCAAGGTATCTGTATGTAGTCCTCTTTTTACGCGTTCTTCTTGGCCTTCATGGGGCCTTTCGGGAGCTGCTTGGGGGACCGTGCGACGGCGAACGTGTAGCCGAGCCCGCCACCGAGCGCCAAGACGACCGCCATCGTCTCGAGGCGGAGCAGCTCCGAGACGGCGAGCGACAGCGTTTGGAAAATGATGTGCAGCGCCGACGGCGGGTGCGGGAGATTGGTCGGTGTCGTCGCCTTGTACCCGCCCTTGACAAAGTTAAGCACCGCGTCCTTGGTGCGCTCGTCCTTGCTCGGGAAGGCGTACACGAGCCGGTTCGTCTTGTCGACCAAAAGCACGCTCGGGTAGCTCTCGACGTTAAGGCGCGTGCGCAGCTCCTCCTCGAGTGCGCCATCGATGCGCGCGACGACCACTTTGCTCTTGAGATCCTGGGCAATTTCCTCGTACGCGGCTGCAAACGCGTGGCACGGGCCGCACCACTGCGCGTAAAACTCGACGAGAACGAGCTCGGACGACGCGCCCGGTCCTTCCATCACCGTGTCGAAGACCGTGGTCGTCCACTCGGCCACATGGACGTTCTCAGCCATCTCGGTCGGCGTGGCTTCTTCTTCCTTGGCTGGCTGTGGCTGGATGGCCTCGGCCTTGGGAATCACCGGCATGGCCTTCGTCGTGGATGTAGCCGTCTTGTAGCCGCCGTCGGCAAACGCCACGAGTGCGTCCACACTTCGGTCGCCTTCAAAGAGCGTGTACGAGGTATCGTGGAGCATCAGGATGGTCGGGTACGAGGCGATGCGGAAGGCTTGCATGAGCGGACGGTTGGCGACATTGGTGCCATCGATCGAACCCGCCAGGATGCCTTTGGCCTTGAGCGCCGTCGCGACCTTGCCAAAGGTTGGGAGCAGCTTGTTGCAGTGGCCGCACCACGGCGCATGAAACATGACGAGGCGCGCGAGCTTGGATCCACGGACATCGTCGGTCGTGAGCGTGTGCCCGTCTGCGAGGGCGGCTTCGTCCACCTCGGTCGCCTTCTTCTTGGTCGCTGGCTTGCCGTCCATCGGATGTGGCAGCGGGCGCGAGTCCTTGCTCGCATAGTCGGTCAGCGCAAACGCCGTCATGAGCTTGGGGTCGCGGAGGCCGTCGAACTCGTAGACGCGGCCGTCGCGGATGAGCACGAGCGTTGGGAAGCCCGTGATGGCAAAGCGCATGCCGAGCTTGGCGTTGATGTCGGCGTCGACGCGAGCGACATGCACGTTGCCGTGGTCCTTGAGCGTCAAAGCCGTTTGGAGCATCGCGCCCATCATATCCTTGCAGTGGTCGCACCAGTGCGCGTGGAACTGGACGAGCCACGCGTCGGCGTTTGGCTCATTCACGCGCGTGACCGCATCAAAGGTGTCGTCAGTGAGGTCGACGAGCGGCGACGTCGGGATTTCCTTGGCCTCTTGCTCGGCGTAGCCGCCGGTCGCAAACGCCGAGAGCGCCTCGAGCGTGCGCGCGCCGTCGTACGCATACATCTTGTTGTCCTTGACAAAGAGAACAGTGGGGTACCCGTTGACTTGGAAGCGCAGCTTGAGCTCGACGTCGTCGGTCGCGTCGACCTTGGCAATGTGCACATCGGCGTTGTCCTGGAGCGACACGGCGAGTTTTTCCCATGTCCGCGCCATCTTCTTGCAGTGGCCGCACCACGGCGCCATAAACTTGATGAACCACCCGCCGCTGGTCGGTGCCATCACGAGCTCATCAAAGGTGGCGGTGGTGAGCTTGACGACCGCCGAGTCGTCGTCCGAAATACCGCCGTCGGCCATCGGGATCGGGTCACCCGCCTTCTCCGTGTACCCCGTCGATACAAACGTCGTGAGCGCATCCAGGCTGCGCGCACCCGCATACTCGTACATCTTGCCGTCCTTGAAGAAGATAAGCGTCGGGAAGCCCTGGACGCCAAAGCGCTCGCCAATGGCTTCGTGCTCGGTAACGTCGACTTTGGCAATGTGCACATCCTGGCCGTGCAAGTCCTGCGAGAGCGCGTCGTACGTTGGCGCGAGCTGCTTGCAGTGGCCGCACCACGGCGCGTAAAACTTGACGAGCCAGCCGTCCTTGCTGTTGACCACCTTGGCGTCAAACGTGTCGGCGGTCAGCGCCTCGACGAACGACGGCGCGTTCGGGTCGCGCTTCTTGGGCACGGCCTTGGCGTCCATGGCCTCGTAGCCACCTTCGAGGAACGTCTTGAAGCCCACGACCGAGCGCTCGCCCTTGAAGCTGTACATCTTGCCTTGCTTGAAGAAGAGCAGCGTCGGGTACCCCGTGACGCCAAACTGTTCCTTGATGTCAGTGTGCGCCTCGACGTCAATCTCGGCGATCGAGGTTTGACCCGCGACCTCGATAGCGAGCTCTTCAAAGATGGGTGCGAGACGCTTGCAATGGCCGCACCACGGCGCGTAAAACTTGATGAGCCAGTCGCCGCGGTCACCGGTTTCGAGCTGCGTGAGCTCCTGAAAGTTGTCGCCCGTGAGCTGGACGACGTTGCTGCTACCCGCATCGTCGGCGAGAACGAGCGAGATCAGCGCGAGAACGACCGCAAGAAGCGCAGTCGACACTTGATTCATTGCACGTTGCTGTGAGAGGCAATAAGAAATGAAAACTGAGTGTCAACGGCCGTCGACCGATGCGCTTCATCCGGAAATCCATCGAATTTGTCCGGTTCCACATAGCTTCGAAGATTTTTGGAAAATGTAGAACCGCGGAAACATCGGTGGCAGAGGCTCGATGCTCGAAGGCTCGGCGCAGCTTCGTTGGCACCTGCTTGGTGCAAAAGCTGGCGCTACATGTGTCCCAGCCCAGGGCTCGGCAACGCTGTGGGCGGGCTCCTTTGCTCCTCAGAGTCATCAACTCGACAGGCTGCGGAAGCAATCTGGAGCAGACGCTCCAATTGACATGCATGCGCAGGTCTTGCGTAGACGGTGCTTGCTTGCCATGCCGGAGGGTAGCTTCAGAGATCCGACACGATTTGAATTAACGCGACCAAACGTCATAAGTATTTATCTAGAATTACAAAATCCAAATGGAATGTGCAGGCGTCTTGGTGACAAGGATCGAAGTGGACGCGTTCGCCGCCTGTCGCCGCTTGCGCTGGGCAAGGAGCACGAGAAGCAGCGCGGCCCCGGCGACGGCGATCGTCAATGCGAGCGCGACGGCGTTCGAGCTCAGCACCTCGGCAGTCGGCGCGGCGTCGATGGTGGCAGCGACGACCGTGGCCATCTCGGTTGCGTTGGCCCGCATCGCCGACGACGCGACAACAAGGACGAGCAGCGCAAGGACAAGAAGAAGCATGGTCGAGGCGATTCCAAAATGAAAGTGGCCAGCGAGTCGCATCTCCGACGGTATCCAGAACGCGCCGCCGATCCTGCTCACGCACGACTGCAGTCGCGCCGTGTCTTCTCGCGCGTTACGACCACTGACACCAGCCGGTGGTCGGTGTCGCTACCCGCCGTCTCGCCGCGCATGCTGACGTCGGCGAGAGATGCGCGCCGCCATGCGCGTGCTGCCCACTTTCTCGCTTTGCATGCCACCACGAGGCTTGACAAGCACGTGTCGAGAGATGCCATGGCACCGTGGCCAGGGCGTCGACCTCTTCCGCCGAACGACATCCTGATAGTTCGATATTTCAACGATTTGGTCCACTATTTTCGGTCGTTTTGATGGTCGTTCGACATTTCTGACGTGCTGGTATGGCGGCATGGCCGTACGCCGATGCATACTGCCACGTCATGCTCCTCTTCTTGACGTACTATTCCACGTAGGCCCCGCTGCAATTTCGTGGTCCTCGACGACAACGACGGCGATGGACACGAGAAGAATGGCGCGGATCCGGCCTCGGACGCGTACCTCATGCAGTGCATGGCGGCGCCTCAGCGCGCGTACCGCCGGCTCTTTGCGCTGCTGCTGACGCTCACGATCGAGCTCTTTGTCGCGTTTGTGATTTCGCGCTATACGCACACGCTGGAGACGTTTCCGCTGCTCATGGCCTTTATGCCCGTCATCTCGGCCGTCTCGGGCAACGTCGGACTGCAGTCCTCGAGCATTGTCACGCGCGCGCTCGCCCTCGGGCTCGTGTCGCTGGACGAGGCGGCCGACGCGCTGCGCCGCGAGGTTGAAGCGGCGCTGCTTCTCGGGCTTGCGCTGGGCCTCGTCACAGGCGTCATTGCAGGCCTCTGGCAGCAGTGGGTCGTCTTTGGCGTTGTTGTTGGCGTCTCGCAGTTCGCTTCGATTATGACCGCGTCCATCACGGGCTCGGCGGCGCCGCTCGTCGGGAAATACTTCAACTACGACCCGGCGACGACCGCAGGTAGAGACGACGACACACCCACCGTGTATTATATGATGACATGACGTATCATAGGACCCATGGAGACGGCCATCCAAGACGTCGTGGGCAACTCGTTCTTTTTGATTTTTGCGTCGTCGCTTCTGACCTTTCTGGGGTAAAAACAAGAGCGATGCGAACGCCATTGCAGCGCAAGCACAAGGTCGCACCACGTGCAACGATTGCCATAGCCAAGTACACCCTCAATATCGTCGAGAGATCGTACGAGATCGATAACATGAGAGTACCAATAACGGTCGCCTTAATTTAGTGGTCGAACCTCTGCACGGCGAGCAGTGGACTCCGACCCGAACCATCGTAGCCGCTCTTGCTACATCCAGCAGCGGCGGCCCATGGAACTTTTGGCTCCGCATTCGAAACTTGCTGAGCCACGTACACCTTCAGAACGGATTAGTCGTTTGGCACACGTATCGGATCGCTACGAAAAACCACGCAATGGTCTAAATGCTGTCAGCGCGCCACGTCATGAGCTGGGTCGTTGCAAATCGTGGCACTCCACGTGGCCGCTACGCGACCATTACTACGTACTGTCAAGCAGTAGGACCCCACCGCTGTCGTCGCCGACGGCAAGAGTTGGGCGCGAGCTCGCGGTCAACTACCGGTACCGCGAAAGCACCTGCGATCGCGTCGCACATCGTGGCGCAGACAACATGTCTATGGGGTGAGATTGGTTGAATATTTGCCTAATCGTCGTCGTCCCATCCTTAGTATTGCGAGCACAATGTATTACTATTGTACTCGTCTATCAGTCGACTTGGCGATCAGCAATGCAGAGGCGGAATATATCCGGAGATGTTGCCGGCAACCAAGCAGAATCCAAGAGCCCTAGTCGCAACGGCGTCCAACCGCAAACCGGTAGATGCGCACACGGTTGGGATCGACTAGGATATTATTGTGCTGTGAATGGACCAGCGTACTTGTTCGCGGCAATTCGTCGTCGCCCAAAGACAGCGCGGTGCAGTCGCATCTCTCGCACGTGCCCAGAATCTCGCTTCAACCAGCGGCTTCAACATTCAGTGCGCATTTCAACCAATCACAGGCGAGTGCGTACGTTCGTAGCCAATCAAAACGCGTTGGCGAAAATAGCTGCCCAACGCAAACGTGCATTTTGGATTTTCCCACACGCATGGCGACCGACCTCCTCCTCCTCAGCCCGCCCGTGACGTCCTTGGCCTGGACACTCCTCTGCCTCGTGGCCTTCATCGGCCTCCGCGTCCTCCAGCAGGCGCGCCAGCCCTCGACGTGGATGCAAGCCTTTGCATCGCCCCTCGCGCTGGGCCTCCCGCTGCACGCAACGACCCGCGATGCGCTCCTGCACGAGTACTACGAGCCGCCGCCGATGGCCGCGTATGGCCTCGCGCTCGCCGACGCCAAGCCGCGGCTACTGCATGACTATGTCGTCTCACCGCTACTGCAGTCGATCGTCTGGTGGGAGCGTGCACAGGCGGTCCCGATCGACGTGAGCGACGTGGTCATGTCGCCGCTGCTCCGCGTGCTCTCGCTCTTGCTGCCGCGCGCGCCGATGGACGAGCCGCCACCGAGTAGCACGCGCTCTGCGTAGCCATCGTCCACCTCGCAGCGATGCAGCCTATTTATGCGCCTCATGTAGTGAGTATATATGAGACAAGACAGCGCGCAACTAGCCTATCGGCGAATACTAGTAGTTAGTGAGAGACTTCGTTTAGACGGCACATTGGCGGTCCGACGCGGCGACTGTAATGTCCTTCTTGGACGAGAGCGTGCCGTAGCCTACCGAGTTGCTTCGAAAGGATCCCATGCCAAAGATCGGGCGGTCCGCGCCTGTACCCATGGTCGAGCCCGACGCCGGCGAGAGCGGCATGAGCGACCCGAACCGACCCGACGTCATGATGGACGCGTACTCGGCGTCGTCTCTCGCGTGCTGCGTGAGGAGGTAGATGCCAATGAGGATCACTAGACAGAATAGAGCGCGTGAGCGCCAGAGACATTGAACCAGCACGTACGGCCCAAGGCGGACGGGAGGCAAATCCACTCGAACAGATGAAAGTCGTAAAACTTGCGGTAGAACACAATCCCGCCCACAACGCTCGACTAGAGAGATACTGTGATCAATACACTGTAAACGAACGCGACAGCACGTACCCCAATCCAAAAGCACTGGAAGACGGGAAAGACCGAGAGCGTATCGCCCGACATGATGGCGCGGTTGAGCAAGTCGGTCTGCAGTACAAGCGTCACAATCATCCCTACTCGACAAGGTTATTCGCATGTTCGAGCATCATGCAGAGGGTACCGCCGACAAAGAGGTACGTGGTCGGGTAGACAAACTGGTTCTGGCCCTGGAACGTGAGCAAGAGGAGCATCGACGCGCACTAGTCATGGTCGGCCGTTCGATCCTCTGGAAGCCAAAGTACGGCGAGCTACTACCTTGGCGAGAAGCACCGAGAAGGAGCCAAAGATGCCGGACGCGGTCGCGTACAAGTAGGGCAGGCGCCGGTAGAGGTACTCGTGGGTCTTGCGCGAGTTGCGGCCAATGGACCGAATCTCGCCAAAGATGCAAAAGAGCATGACGCACTACGCAGCGATCGACATGAGCCTCATGGACGCCGATATATGGACGCGTCGTACCATGAAGCTAAAGTAGACGAGGAATTCGAGGCCGCAAAACTGCGCCTCGAGCTCGTTCAGCGTCAGCTGCGCGTCCGGCTGGTTCCCGAGCGTGCTCAAGACGACGCCGACGATGATCAAGAACGTGCCGGCCGTGTCGTTCCACGTGAGGCGCTGGCCGAGCCAGAGGTGCGCAAAGAAGACGTTGGCGAGGACCGTGCAGCCGCCGCCGACGGCCGCGACGAGCGCTTGCGGCGCAAAGGCGAGCGCTTCAAAGTCGCCGATCGAGCCGAGAATGACGAGCACCATGCCCGTGATCCAGAGCGGCCGCGTGTAGTACGTCCGGCGCTCAAAGAGCGGCCGCCCTTCCTCGCCGACGTGCGAGAGCTTCTGCACGTTGACGCCGAGGTTGGAGAGGATCGCGGAGCCGACGACGATGGCAAGGCCGATCCACTTGAGCTGCGTCGCCTCGGCCTCGTTCGCGGGCTCGACCACGAACTGCGCTGCGCCTGACGCCATGGTAAAATATAACCCACGCGACCACTTGCGGGTTTCCCACGTCTGGAAACACCGCTCTTTAGCTCCGTCCGCCATGAAGCGCCTAGCGTAATCCTACCACTGGCAACGCAATATGCGTTGCATACGGTCTATGGCACGGCTTGCAGCACGCACGATGCGCATGGACGTTGGGAGGCGGCAAGCGACCGTGGCCAGCGTCCATGGGGACCGCTCGTTGCGTGTATCTAGTGTATGGCGGCGTCGGTGTTGCATGGAACGAATGATGGGTCGTTTTATTCTATTGCGCGCGTCACATACAAACACCAAGCTACAATAAAGAGAATCTATATTATGACACGGTGCCAGCACACTTCAACACACGTGCGTTCAGTGTCGACAACCACTGGACGACGACGACGAGATACCGTCGTCGCCCATCAATATGGAAGATATTGTCCATTCTGTTTATTCTCGCAGTCTAGTGCGACGAGCAGGGTCGACAGCCCCATGGTGGGTGGCTCCGAACGGGCGGCGGTGGTGCCTACGATCCGACGACGTCGGGTCGACAACCCACCGATCGTTCTGTCCTACAGCTTGTAGACTGCAATTTATCGAGACTGCACTTGTGCGTCTACCACTCCGTGGAACATCGCATCCAGATCTGTCCAGCCGGTCGCTTGTGGTCACGGCAAGCGTCGAAGCAGGCAAGCCCCCTTGCCCGGAACGACCCAAGCACATCGTCTCGCTCGATACAAAAAAACCACAACGACGGCAGGCTCTGTGACCACCGCCGCCCGTCGATGTCACAGCATGCTTCGCGTCGACCACCACAGCACCATGGTAGCACGGATCACGTCGACCACCGCAGCACCATGGCACATTTTTCAACAACTACAGCCAGTACTGCTGTGCTGATTGTCGCGGATAAACGTCATACCTATCTATCTATCTATCTATCTATCTATCTATCTATCTATCTATCCTTCAACAACACAAGCGACACATACATATGTACCGGCCGAGGGCATCGAGCTCAAGCCGCCTGCGCAAAGGGTGGTCGAGGGAGAGTCCATCGCAGCGGGTAGAAATGGACGACTACCTGCACTCGTAAAGAGTGGAGAATTTGTGTCATTATTGATGGCATTATATCGACGTGTCTTCGACCAAGAAGCGCTCGATCGCACTTTCGGCGCGCTTGGCTCTGTACCGGACGGTGCTGCGGTGCATGCGGTGCTCCCACAAGGCGGCGCCGATCGTACACGTGCACGACAAGGCGAGTGCGAGCGCAATGACAAAGTACGGGCGTTCGCTGAATGGGTACAGCCAGACGACGGCTGTGATCGGGTACTGCAGAAAGCACTGGAGGTTGAGCACACCCATGAGGCACGCGAGCTTGCGCATCGGGACGTTGATGCCCTGCGGGTTGTTTTGGTCCATGAACTCGACGGGGAGCGACGGAAAGGCCGCTTGAATCCTCGCTTCGGCGCGCATGTCGGTCGACGACGCGTACCACATGAGGAGCCGCAGCAGCGTCACGAAGCGGGCTGGGTGCACCATGAGCGCGGCCAAGGTCAGCGTTGCATTGAGCACTTGGATGCACACCTCAATGTAGCTGTCGCGGGTGGTACTTGGCATGGCAAAGACGTTGGAGAGCACGAGGATGAGGAGCAGCCCGACGAGAAGCGTGAGTCCGATAAAGAGGCCGAGGGCGACCCGCCGCCCCCGCGAATGCTCGCGGCACATGGCGTCCATTGAAGCGGGTTCAGTAGTTATACCGAGAATGAAGAAGGAAGGGCGCATTCTAATATCGAACGAATCGCCCGCACTTTGGACGGTGAAGGAAAGTCGAAAAACTAGGAAAAATACGTTCACCCGCCGGCGGCCGCGTCCATGGCGGCGCGTTGGGTGTCCCCTCGTGTACCGTGATGCGAACAACTCTCGAGCATTCGATGCACTAGCGTCGCAAGGCATCGCTCACAAACGGTCATGCAGAGCGTCATGGACCTCTTATTTGAACGCGGCGTGCAAGGTCTCATGACACCGTGGCGCCGATGTAGCCTCGTAGCTTTGGGTCCAGCGCCAGCTCGGCGTGGCACCTCGATGAAGAGCGCCCTCCATTATCCGGACGATTCATGCTAAAAGCGTGGGGACGTGTCATGGCGGTGGGACATCCGCTGCAAGTGCAAGCATCGAAGGCGCTCGGTCGTTGGCGCCAGATCGAATGCGTCGCCAGGTGCGTGAGTGTCCCGTATCCGGATGTGGCAAACGGGAGTAAAAAAACGGTCTTTTTCACTTGGCTAAACAAACGCCACCTAATCGTGGGCCGCCACCTGAGACGATTACCGGCATCGTGCTTCATGCTGCCCCAACGAGCCCCAACAGTAGCACAAGGCTTGGCACACGTGGAGGCCAATCAACGGCGCCCAAAACCGATCTCGGCCCTTTGTCGGTGCTGGTGGACACTGCAGATGCGACGCGATTACTCATCATCGCGGCGTAACGAGCCGGCCTCGACCACTCACGCGACGGTGTCGATCCATCGACGCCTCCGATCGTTTCGTCCGTAAACCCGCTGCATACGCTGGACGCACGTCAATGGGTGGTATAAAATACCGGCCTCGTCGACTTGTCCGATCCTTCGTCCCTATTCCATCCGACCTACTCGCATGCCATAATACAGTATCCGCTACATCAGTGCTACGACCTCGTCGTAGGCATGCAGGCGCGGTGGTGCAGTGGTCCACGTTAGCGCACAAGGTGGCGTCCCCCATCGTCTCTCCCAAGTTGGGAGAGAGGTTGCTGCTCTTAAAATGGCGTGCGGGTATCCACACCGCTGCACACCCGCCATCAAAATCTCACGTCCATACAAACATCCATACAATCCGTTGATTTTCACGTGCCGGAAAGTGCAACCTGGTGATGGATCTACTCTTTCGAAACTTCAAGCGCCGCCGTCCGTTTACAAACCGCGCGCGTGTTTACAAATATGGCGCGGCCGTTGGCCCTGCATGGCATTCTACGATCGGTCGAGTAGCACGCAGATGACGACCAAGACGACGACGAAGGGCAGCTGGACGCGCATGGCGCCGTCGCACCTCGCGGCCAACACGTCCAACCCGATCCGCAAGATCGTCGACAACATCAAGATGCCCGCGCACTCGGACAAGGAGCTCATCCGCCTCTCGCTCGGCGACCCGACCGTCTTTGGCAACCTCAACTGCCCGGACGTGCTCACGGAGGCCGTCGTCGCCAACGTGCGCTCGGTCAAGCACAACGGCTACATCCACTCGGCGGGTACCGAGGCCGCGCGCGCGGCGATTGCCACCGCCTACGGTCACCCGGTCACGCACCCGTTGACGAAGGACGACATTATCATTGCCAGCGGCGGCTCTGGCGCGCTGGACATTGCGATCACGGGCCTCGTGAACCCGGGCGAGAACATCCTCTTGCCCAAGCCGGCGTTCTCGCTCTACCAGGTCATTTGCGATGCACACAAGATTGAGACGCGGTATTACGACCTCGTGCCCGAGCGCAACTGGGAGGCCGACGTGACGCAGATGGCGTCGCTCATCGACAGCAAGACGCGCGCGATCCTCGTCAACAACCCGAGCAACCCGTGCGGCAGCGTGTACTCCAAGGCCCATTTGAACGACATCCTAAGCGTGGCCGAGGCCCACCACGTGCCCATCATTGCGGACGAGATTTACGGCGACATGACCTTTGGCGACTCGGTGTTTTACCCGATGGCGTCGCTCACGACGACCGTGCCCGTCATCTCGTGCGCAGGCTTGGCCAAGCTCTTCGCCGTGCCGGGCTGGCGCGTGGGCTGGATCGCAGTCCACGACCGTAACAACGTGCTTGCAGACATTCGCGACGCCTACTTCAAGCTCTCGACGCTCATCCTTGGCGCCAACTCGCTCGTGCAGTCGGCGATTCCGACCGTGCTCACGCCGACCAAGGGGTCGCCGGAAGAGAAGTCGCTCACGGCGTTCAAAAAGTCGTACTATGACGTGCTCGAGGCCAACGCGCAGTTTACGCTCACGACGCTCGCCAAGATCCGCGGCCTCAAGGTCGTGGTGCCCCAGGGGGCCATGTACGTTATGGTTGGCATCGACACGGCGATCTTGAAGGACATTGCGGACGACTTTGACTTTACGCAAAAGCTGCTCAGCGAAGAAAGCGTCCTCGTGCTGCCAGGGCAGTGCTTTGGCATTGACAACTACTTCCGCGTCGTCTTTTCGGCGCCCCAGGCCAAGCTCGGCGAGGCGTACGAGCGCATCGCGCGCTTCTGCGCCCGTCACTCGGCGTAAATTAGTGGTAGAGATAACAAAAGATAGTGTACACAAAACGTATAAAACCAACGGGTTGTTTTCCACATCATAACGCTACGCAATAACAACAATTGCGGTGAGCCTGGACCACGGTGACGGTGATGCCTGGACCACGGGCACGCCTGCCTGCCCTAGTAACGATAGAGCGAAGTGACTACTGCCACGGGCGAATGTCTTCTCCGAAGCGTGCTACACGGCGGCACCCTCTGATGCTGCTACCGCCTTTGGGATTTCGAAAAAGGGACTGCACGCACCGGGCTCGAACCCCGCACCTCCTGAGTGTGAAGATCAGATCCACCGACTGGTCGAAAGGTGATCGACTAAGTTCTATCAGCATCTTGGCGTTGGGATCAAATGTGTCTTGCAAAGCCTTGCCCCATAGTGCGATCCTTGTCGATATCCACTGTGTGGTCACAAGCACGACGCCACCACACGCTCCGAGCTCGTGTCTTGGAGTGCAGCAACACGGCGAGCACGGTGTCCTTGACCCGGTGCACCACACGACCTCACTTGAGGGGTCGCGCACGTCGATGGAGCTGCTCAGAAAGACCCGGATTGCGGCGGCTCGCCCCAGCGTGGTGCACCAGGCCAACTACCTCGGTACCGCGACAACAAACAACGAGGCCGAGTACGACGGTCTGATCACGGCGCTCCAGTTAGCTCAGCGACTGGCAGAGACGCATCTCACGGCACGCGGCGTGCTGCGGATGCAGCAGATGAAGGACATCTTCCGGGTCCTAGAGGCTCGCTTGCAGAAGCTGCATGACCAGGCGCGGGAGCTCGCGGCGTGTTTTACGTGCACATGGGAGCGCCCCCGGAGGACGACCACAGAAGAGCAAGACGAGCCCCGCGCCGCCGCCTGCGCAGCCACGGCCCGGCGAGCGAATGAAGAAGAAGGAGATTGCTAGGCTCTACGTATACGAACTCTTCGTAACAACGAAGATAACGCGAAACATGTTCATATATATATGGGAACACCACCCTCGCGAGCTCAACCAAGCCACGGATCATTTGTCCAAGCTCGCACCAGACGACTGTATACCTCGTACGCGCATCCTGACGAAGGACGGCACGCCGTATTGCCGGCCGATGAACTCCGGCACGTTGGAAAGCTTTTGGCCGCCGACGTTCAACGCACATCTAGTACATAAGTCTTAGTAGGTGGAGTCTTTAGTCTGTACTATACAGATTTCAATCCATATCATATCACATCCACTGTATGGTCATGAGCACGACGCTGCAATGCTCGGCTACGGGTCGTGTTTCGACGCCCTCGATTTCGTTCGAGTCTTCTGGGACCGGTAGCTTTGGACCAAGGGTATAATATCACAAGCATTATGAGCTCCGCGAGGCACAAGACGTACGCGAGCGCCCAGCGCTACTACCAAGACGCCCAGACTGTGCTGGCAATTGCCGCGAGAGACCCCGAGTCCATGGATATCATCAACGCCATGCCCACGTGGACAGCCATCCACATCGTCAACCACAACACGAGCATTGCTATCTCCAACAACCAGTACTCTGCGTCTGATATACCGATCATCGACATGGCACACTCTCTCGTTCGAAGCTTCGTCGACCATACGGATGGACCGCGATGTCGCCGTCAACTCAAGCCCATCGACCTTGCCCGAGCCATTCTCAAGTCGGCGGTGCCAGAGATGGACGTCGATTATCAGCTCGAATCTGAGATCAACCTCGTCTCGGACCCGCAGCGGCGCGTCAGCTTGCGCAAACTCTTCGCTCTGAAGTGTGTCCAGCTTCGTACTCGACTCGAGGTCGATCGCATCGAAGCAGTGATTGCCGCGCAAGACGCACTACGCGATGCGACGTTCGTGGGTGGCGAGCAGGATGTCGACATGCCCGGTCCCAATGCTGACGACCCACCGCAAGATCCAGTAGTGCTTCCTCCGCAACAACCTCATGCAGTTGAGCAACCTTACGCGCCCGCGGTACGTCGTGAAGTAGCTGTACTAACCTCATGGGCCTCTTATTAGCATCCTCCGGCGCTCGTTGCTCACCAGGACGTCGTCGTACCAAAACCCAAGCGCGGTGGTACATTTGACGCTCCGTCGCGGTTGTTGCTCTCTGGTACCATGGACGACGCGCAGAAGCTCGATGTCCTCTGCAGAATTAACGAGGAGCTCAAGGCCATGCCCTCCGACCAGGCCATGCGTGAAAGTTGCAGGTCCTTCAACGTTTCGACTCTCGCACCGATAATGGCTTGCCTTGCCAAGCACTGCAACAACGACAGAGCTCGCTTCTTGGAAAAGCACCCGAACTTCAAGCACAGCAGCTTCAAGACACAGCGATGCAACGGAACGAAAGACGAGTGCAACGCCAAGAACCGGCCCAACACTGACAATTGACCCACTTCATAACACTTTAATGACGTTCATGATATCCTGTTCTTGGATCGTGCCGACACGGAGGCCATCCTCCGGCGGGACTCGCGATCTTCCATCGTCCTCCCCATGATGACCTCCTATCGTCCTCACGACGATCTCCAATCATACTCCTCGTCCTCCTCGTCCTCGACCTCCCCATGACGATCACCAATCGTCCTCATGACGATCTCCAATCGTCCTCCTCGTCCTCGAAATTCGCATGCTCTTGCCTCGAACTTCGATTGGGCTGCCTGGCGTCTCGATAGTCTCGATAATATGTGTTTATAAAGGATATTAAGTCTAACAGACCCAACCATCCCTACCAGGTAACTCCCACGTGAATACTTGCATAGTATACGGTACACAGCAAGATGGGAGGTGCCGAGGGGACGCCCAATTTCCCTGCGATGCGACTCAGATGCCAGCCAGAGCGTTGCGGACCACTACGTTTCCTCGCTGATGCTCGTTCTTAGCCTCCGCCGGCAGCAAGGGTGGCCGGTTCAACACAGCACTCTTTGGCACCACGCCTGGTTCCTGTATCTGGTCAGCGTCGGAGCTGGAGCTCGTCAAATTTTGATTGGTCAAACCAGTTGTTTTCTCGGTTGACATCAATATGTCACGTATTGGACCGCAACGTGATGCTCCTTCAGTGCATTCAATATTAAAAACCACCGCGAAAAACGAGAGTATCCCACGTGTGTTTTTCACGGGATGTGTTTCCCACACGAAATTAAATGCGACTTCTTGTTTAGTCGCTACGTGGGATCTTGCGGGAAGGTAGTCAGCGGCCTGGGCAGTTGTATTACCGGTACCACCGAGTCAACACGAGTCAAGCTTGAACCAGTGCATACTACGCGTGCATAAATGGGCAAACGCACGTAGAAGTTGCCATTCTCGGCTTCACATGTACAGATCGACGGCAGTTCCAATCCCCATGCATTACATGCTCGCACCTTTGGCAACGATCAAGGCGAGTAGTTTCTGACTCTGACATTGAGGGTGGTTATTGTATTGCGATACAACGAGCACGGTGGCATTTATCAGAGTAGTAGGTGCCAGGAAAGCCGAAGCAAGATCCAGTACTGTATTTTGGCAACTGGAAACGAGGAGCGAAGCGGCACCACAATAAATATGACAGTGTATTAACGTCACAAGACAGCAAACGGACAGGGTTGGAACAGCCACGTGCAGACACATGGTTGTCACGGTGGTTGCGAGAGGCGCCGATGCGGTATAGGACTTGGACCTTGGTTCTTGGTTGCTCTGGTGCCGCTTCTGGTCTGGTGCACCATGAAAATCCACTTCTGGATTCAAAAGTAGCCAGACGGATTTATTTAGTCCCTGCTGATTACCAGTTATCCTAGAGTGTGCTAATAGAGTGTGCTGTGTGTGGACACGTGCATGTTTGGTATCGCGGACCAGAACCCAGGCGGTACCAGATTTCTGTATCCCTCTGGATCTACTCGAAAATGCCAGCGCGCACCTGAGATGGCTCTTTTTGCATTGCTGAAAAGTAGGGTCAGTGGCCAAGCGTGGGATAGCTGTGTGGGATGGGACGGAAGCTTCTCATGCAGCACCATGTCGAACTCGGGTCGCTCTCAGAAGTGCGATTGCCTGCAAGAATACCCATTCGGGTCTTGGCGGCTTGGCGCGGGTGCTTCGAGTTGTTTTTGTTTACGATGCGATCAAACAACAAAGCTGTAGTCATCCAATCGCCAGTACTGTTGCATTTGGTCGTCGGGTCAACGGCGTACTAAATGTACACTCTAGCTACCTCCACCTTGGTTGCTGCTACGGTCGTGCTCGTGATGCTCTCCCTCCCTTTTAGCCATCATCCATACTTCGGCTGCTCGGCCACTACTGGCTTTTCTGCCTCGATATATTGGATATTCGTGCTATGTACATAGCGCGCTGTCGAAGCGGGACGAGCAAGGCTTGCCAACGCAAGATTAGAATTTAAAGGCACCACATTAAACTACAAGTTTGTATGCTATCGACAATCAGAGACACAGCGCGCATTATATGACAATATATATCAGAGGTGGACCCATCCATTGCTTACAGGCGCAGAATATGGGAAGCGGCCGCGAACCTCAACAGGCAGCTCGCGTGCACCCATGGGCCGTACCCTTAGACCAGCCAGCGCTATTCCCTTAAATCATACCTCGCGACACTTGCGGGTGCGCGCTCTCTAGCTCTAGAGCTGCAAACTACTATCAACGTCTTGTACAGAGCAGTGCGCTTCAAGGCATCCTCAGCGGAGCGTGCCTGCGCTCGCCTCCCCACCCATGCGAAACCGGAAACGTACTACCTGTGCGAATTTCACCCAATTATCCGGTTTCCTTCGGACGATACAAGCCATGGAAGGGACATCACTCCTGTCGCACATCCGCCATGCCGAGCATCTCGCCGAGCGCCAAGAGCGGCGACGGCAGCAGCAAGCCGATGCGCAAGACCAAGTGCCGCAACGCGTACCAGCGAGAAATGCAGCGCATCTACCGCAAGGCCGAGGCCGACGAGCGGCAGCGGCTACGGGACCAAGCGGTGGCGCTCGAGGCCACGCTCGCGGCCATACGCCCGGCTGCCAGCACGCTCCTGCCGTGGCAGCACGTCGCGCGAAGTCTACGCGACGAGCTCGATGCTAGCCGCGAGACACACGCCGAGCTGCGCCGGCGACTGCGGCGAGTCCATCTCTTGGCGCACCTCATGCACGCGTATGCGTCGTCCGTGCTTGCGTCGTCGGTAGGTCTATCAAAACGGCGACATGGTCTCACGCTCCGTAGGCGCTTCTGCGCGGACGCACCGAGACGTGGCAGCATGTGTCGCTGCCGGCTGCGGCGCCCGCCCGGCCGCTCGGGCTCGACTGGATCACACGCCAGCTCTACCACAACACGGACGCTATTCTGTCGCTGCACGCGTTTCCGCCACACGACGCCAGCATCTTTTTGACATTGCCGTCTCGGACACGGACGCGACCGTGGTCATTCGCCACCAGCGGCTCGTGGCGCGGCCGCTGCACGTCCTCACCGCAGCGTACCATGCGTTTTTCATTGGCGGCAACGGCTTTGGCTATGCCATCGAGGACCTCGACCTTCTGCCGGCCACTGAAAACATGGTGTACCGACGGCGCAACGTCGGCAACCACGTCCTTGGCGACATGCTGCAGAACTACGTCCACCGCCAGTTTGCCACGCGGACCCGGTCTGTGCTTGTGGCGCGGAACATCCTCTCGGACGACAAGGTGCCCCTCGGCCTCTACAAGCGCGACGCCTCTGGCTGGTACACGGTGCTTTCACGCCGTGTGTGGGTGCTCAGTCAATCTGCGTAGGGTCGTTGCGACAGCGATGGATGCCGACACGACGCTCGTTCAAGAGGTCTGGAGCATCTGCCCGCTCCTCAAAGGCGCCGCCAACGACGTCGCGCCATTTGCCGACGAAGCGTGCTTGTACGGCCTCGACCTGCGCACCCTGCCGCCCGCGCTGCACTTTTCTTCGCTCCAGCAAGCCGTCCACCGCCTCGGCCAAAGCGTGCTCGCAAAGCGGGCCCAATTCTTCGACAATGTTCGATGAAGAATGAAGTGCGGTGCATTCCGGTCCGACTCCGTGCTCGAACGACGACGTGCAGCAAAAGAGAGGGCATAGCTCGTGGCTGTTGGGTGGGGGTGCGAGGTTGCTGCCTGCCCATCCTCGCGCGGCAACGGTGTCGATTCTTCCATTCCACGGCGCCGCTGGTGACGCGCCAAAGGGATTTGCTACAAGGTCACGCCACCACCCATGGCCACCACCATGAGCCTTGGTCGCTAGCATATTGGTGGACGGGGGACGAGGGCTTTAGCAAGGCTTTAAGTTCTACTGGCTTTGGTTTTATGCACCCTTGGGGTGGGCTACACGGTACTAAGAGGCGGCAGCTTGGGGGCCTCGAAGGCGAGCGTTGTAGTACCGGCAGTAGTAGTGGGCGTCACTGCCACTCGTTTTTATTAGCGCGCGACATGGCTGGATACTGCTGCGACGGTCTCGCAAAGCTCCGTGGCAGATACTAGAATGGTAGCCGCGTGGCGAGATGCTGTCTCGGGCAACGGCGTGATTGCTCATACACCACGGTCTCTTCTTCGCCGGTGCCATTCAATTGTTGCATGTCCATGGGACGGATAATACACGGTAAAATACATGCTGGAATAGCGGCGGCTTGTGCGCGACCCGCATTGGATTCTACTCGCTTACCTCGAATCGAATCAAACAGCCCGCAAGACGCGCAGGAGACACTGCACGAGGGTAAATTAAGAGGGTAAATTAGAGCGCCTGGGCAAACGCGTGACGCGCCTGTTTAAACGCATGCGGATCCAAATCGGCGTCGTGACGAACGACCCACACCTCTTGCACGACGGTCGTTGCAGCGTCCAGCGCCGTCGCAACGATCCTATCAATTCATTCAATGCCATCGTCGCCACGGTATCATGGACGACATACCAGCCTCGGATGTGCTCGTCCGGCGTGCTGGCAACAACCAGTGTCGTCTGCTTGCGGTCGGCGAACGCGCGGGTCACAAAGGCGTGCGCGCCGAGCCCAAAGTCCCAGTGCCGGTGCACGAGGCTCGTCGTCAAAGAATGCGGAGGAGGATAGGCGTCGCCGCGTCCTTGGTTGAGACGCTATGGACGACAATCGAACAAAGTGTCTTCAAGAAAGAGGCGCGTACCATGGTGGTCTCATCCAAAAGCGTCTTGCTTGTAGCACTGCACCCAGACGTCGTAGTACGCTCACGAAGAGGATCGGTCACTTCAAGAAGGGGCTCGGGCAAGAATTGGCGCCGATACGCAGCCGCGACGGTGTCGAGTGCCAAATGTACATGCATCTCGAGCCGTGCAAACACCGCGTCCTGGCCTTGGACGACCGACCGCGCGTTCATGTACATGCGCTGGGTGATCCACTCGAGGCTGACGTGGCGTGCACGCGGCTCGTCCGGCAACGTCGACGTCTACGGCACGACGAATGGTAAGATCTAGTTGGGATCACGCGCGTACGCTGTGGGCAAAGGAGGCCATTGCGTCGCAGAGTGCGCGCTGGTGCGCGACTTGGTGCATGAGGGCGGCATGCTCGTCTTGGGCGATACGGGTTTCCTCTGCGAGCGCGACCGCCGTGTCTTGCCACGTGACCATTTGAAGCGCCTTTTGCAGTGTGACGTAGGCCTCGAGCATCGCGGCCGAGTGGCGGAGACTCCGGCGCTCGTCGGCTTCGTTGCGGCGGTAGATGCGCTGCATCTTGCGCTGATATTCGTTGCGGCACTTTGGAGCTGCCTTCATGCGCTTCGTCGAGTGGGGCACCGGCGAAAGCGAAGATGATGAAGTTTTCGTCGTGTGGGTCATGCTCGGCAAATTGAAAAGTGCAATCTCGGCAGCATGCAAGATTTTTTTAATTAAAAAATGCTTACTACATTTTGGAGACGTTGTGATATGCGTTGGCCAGCGGCCGAGGTGGGTGAGACACGAACTCGTAACACGCCGACAGCCCCGCGTCGGCGTTCTTCAAGCCCTACTCTTCGTGAAGCGGTACAGTGTAGTGACGACCGTAGTAGCTTTGGCGGAGAATTCCATGCAGGTCGGCGGCTACTGGAAATATATAGTCTTTCCTGAAAGTCGTGAAGTAGCCAAGACGCGCGTCGATCGCAGACTAGCCCAACGGCCGTTCCGGCAACGACGCCAGGCCAATATGAGTCGAGTCTGCGCGATACCAACGGGCCACATATTAGAGACGCAACGTATGGTGCAGACAGGGCTGCGGACTGCATGGACTTGGAAAGCGGGTGCGAACCATTGGGCGCCTCGGTTGTCTGCACGAGTCCAGATGGAGGCCGTGGGTTAGAAACACACGCCTGAACGGCCTGCAAACTAAAGTCGATGCAACGGCAAAAGAAATGGCCCAAGTGGATACAGTAATAGTGTCGTCTAAGCACGAGTAGCCACACGTTGAAGATCCGGCGCGTGGTCAACCGATCATTCCCGCATGGGACACGTGGGGCTGATCATGACCGCACGCATGGGCAGCGAGCAAGCAGAGCCAGTGCCGATCGCATCAGCGTGATGCGATGATGTTGGTAAAAGTACCGCGCGGGCTCTTCAGGCACGAGGCGATCCAGCACACAGCAAGGCGCGAACGAAAATCGAAGCGTGTTACTGCTACCACACAAGTAGCCGCGGTCCACACCGGAACAGTGCACTGTATGCGCGCGACATGCAGAGCGGGCAACTTGGCGAATACTAAACGCATCTTGACCGCAGACCTGAGGCTGCCCACTGCTGACCACTTCAGACTAACGTTACGGGCTAAATCCAACTGTACACGAGTAATATGAAGGCGATGGTTCTGAACAGGGCCACGCTCGAGATGGATTGCAGCAAAAAGTGGTGCGTGGGAATCCACGTGCGAAACATATTTTATTTTGACGTGGGAAATCTCCGTGTGCACTCATTTCCCACCGTGTGAAAGCGGTGAGAAAAGTGGTAAATGTATTTGGTACGAATCATCACGCGAGATACAAGGTCACGCGGCGTGGGTGCTCGTGTCGAGGATGGGTCGCCCACCTGGGTGGCGAAGCGCACATGTGTTTCGAGTCGTATGTGAGTTATCCTTCCCCATCTTTCCGCAAATCATGATTACACCAAGGGCGGGACAGCAGGAGATGATGCAGGAGTCCATGGCAGAGCCTCAAGTTGCCGTGCATTGCCGAGAAGCCAAATCACCCGTGTATCGCAGAAGATCTGAGACGTCCTGAACACCGTGGGACGCAAAACGCAGGATGATGTGCATGTTCTTTTTCCACTCGTGAGCACGAGCGAATCCTAGGCGTGACGAGAGATATTGCCCACAACTGCTGGACTTCCTTATACGCTCCTCTTCTTGTGTATGCCGGGTGCGACGCTGGTCACGCGGCCAGATGCGGTTGCCAACATTACGAAAAAAGCACGTCGATGGACCTTGCCAATCGCGCGCCAAATAGATACTTTTGGATTGGTAGCAGTGTCTTTTCGTCGCGACGCGGATTGCAGTGAGCAACTCTGCAGCTGTACGGCTCGTCTGATCATTTTTTGAAAAGCAAAAACACTTGACGGTCGAGTCTTTACCATGTGGGCTTCACGATGCACATATCCTTGGTTGATCTATGCGGATACTAGGCGCATGGTCTCCACCATCTTGGAAAACTTCTATCTGCGCGTATTGGAAGGGGGTTTGAGGCTGTCATCGCTTCTTGACTGTGAGAAAGCCTCGAGTGTGGTGAAGTGCATATTGAGCCCAACAGAGTGCCCTTATAGTGATTTCTGTCGTGGTAGGATCGTGTGGCTATTCTTCGCTACCCACCAAACGACGGTCATTGTACCATCCCCGTGCATCATCGTCGAGATCATCACACAGCGAGGGAGACGAGTGAAGACATTGGCGCGGGCTGGATGTAGCGACTGTCAACTCGACTGCGATTCTCTCCAAGAGTTGCAAACGCGTTGCTTTGCGCGATGGATCTGCGAAGGTGTTGCGCATCGGCTTCGACTTTTGAATCACGTGCAGCCCAATCGCGGATTTAGAGAGAAATTGAGTCGAGCTATTGAAAGCACTGGGCGACGTGCTGGGCCTGAAGGAAGTCGTCCCTGCCAACGCCTCCACCGCCGCCTGACTATTCGACCCGTTCGAGCAGCCCCGCTTATTTGGCCGCACCCAAGCTCACGTTGCCGTTTGTCCTACACCGCCCTCCAGTTGCTGACGCCGCATCAGTGGCTGGCGTCACTCGGGGACCCCTAGAAACTGCATAGCTTTGCTCTATATCGCAACGCTTAAAAGGACTTGACAGAGCTCATCGCCACGGGCCTTGACTTGATATTTGGAGCACAGAAATGACGCATATCGTGATGGATGAATTAGTATAGGTTGAATGACGGGGTCGACAAGCACGAGCGACCACTATCAACAAGAACGTCAGATAGCGTGGATGTCTAGCGCGCACCTCTGTCGTCTTTGGGTGTTTCAAAGATCGGACCCGTCCGTACCGAATGGAGCTAAGCTATCTAACTGAGTCGTCCGATTACTGCAGTCAATTCACAGCGCGAGGAACTCGGTCATTTCGTTCATCTTTGACGGTATGAGTAGGATTCTAGGCGCCCGCTGAGAAGACGACGCGAAGAATTGAGCGAAAAGGCTTGAGCCAATCCGATTTCTAGCCGAAATATCAAAGTTCCGTGTCACGCCTTCATGAGCAAGCGCCAAGATGTGTGCGATCCCACGCGTGAAGTCTTTACAACGTGTAACGGCGCGTTGCGAGCGTGTTTGGTCGGGTCATCCACCAACCAACAATGCCTGTGAATCCTATGAATTTGGTTTTGGTAGTAGAAATTGGAGCCCACACGGCCTTTCTTTTCACCTGATGGAACAAAACGTTGAGATTCTACAAACGATGTCATCAATCGGTGTTGAAACGAGCTAGCAACATGCAAACTAACTAGCGGACTCCCTAATGCGCTCGAGCAACATGCAAACTAACTAGCGGACTCCCTAATGCGCTCGTGAGGCATGGCCTGCGGGTCAAGTGAGGAGTCCTGTTGCGGAATTGTGCGAGGAACGAGGTAACGCGCACACCAAGGGTCATCTCGAAGAACGTTAAGCGACTCGGCGAGCGATGGCACCACGGCACGACGAGCCAAGTGCCGGGCATGCAGATAGCAGCTGCCGTGACCGCGAGTGCAGTAGCGGCAAGTTTTGGCAGCAGCGTGCGGAAGACTCGGTTGTTGCGTTCAAGCCCAAGACAATGCCAAACGCAAGCGTGTACGATCGGCCAGAGGGCAAGAGAGGACGACTTGTGATCCGAGTGCGGCGCAGCGACAGTGTCGTAGAGAAAGTCAGCGACCGACGACGGGAGTTGCATCTTCGGAATATTCCGCATCGGCGCAAAAGCACGCCAGAACGCGCGGACGTATGGGCATCTCTGCTACACGAGGTAGTAGCAATCGATCGATCTTGGCCTGACAAAAGTCTTGCAGGGCAAAAGCCCACGTACTCAACAAATCCCTATAATGTTTCACAGGTACACTAGCGATTTCGCCTCGATTCATAAAACGCCATCTTTATCTAGTTGCCGTGTGGTGTGCATACCACCCCACGCTATCGGTTTTCTCTCTATATATTACTGTATACGTAGCCTTGCCTTCTCACAACAGAACCTGTGTATACGGGTGTCCAGTGTCATCTTAGCCCACCTGGTAAGCCTCACCAGGTACCGAGAGTACCGAGACTATCTAAGATACCGAGACAAGGTCTGTTAGCTAGGCTATGTTTGCGTATACCGACGGGCTCGATATAAAAAGGCTCCACCACCGCATGGCTGCGCGAGTTCACGCGGATATTTGATTTGTCATTTCACAATTGACGCCATGGCGCGCACCAAGTGCCGGAACGCTTACCAGCGCATGATGCAGCGCCAATACAAGCAAGCCTACCTCAAGCTCCGCGCCGAGCTCACCCAGACCGCTGCACTTCTCGAGAAGCACATCGCACTGCGCCAAGCCACACCGATGGTGTCGTGGAAGGATATTGCCGACGAGCTGCGCGCCGACATTGACCGTCTCCAAGAAGAAAACGCGTCACTTCAAAACGTGGTGCGAATCCAGCAGCAAGTGATCTTCGACTTGCGCGCGATCGAGAGCGCGATGGACCATACTTGAACAAATGGATTGTATGAATGGTTGCCTCAACTGCGTCCGTGGATATAATGGCGCTGGGCGGCACAATGCCCCACAATGAATCAATCAATCAATGCGTTGAAATCAAATTAGCGAAAACTAACTCAAAGACTTCGCAGACGTAGTGTTACGCCTGAATGCGTGGGAGTTGGCACCTGCACTTGGTCGTTGGGAGTGAACTGCGCACGGAGAGATCCACAAAACGTCTAACCTTTCGCTAGAAAAGCCATGACGATTTTTTTGTCACCGCGCTCGTCCCAGGTCAGTCGTCCTGTAGGGTCAGTCTGGTCCCGGGAGCTTCCTGACCGTAGGATACACCGTTCTTTTCATGAGAAAGGGCCACCGCGGTACTAAGCATTGTATACATCTGGCGCCGCATCACGGAGGGATGTGCTGCGTGCCGCCGTGGGCCTTCAAGTTGGCACAACTCGCAACGTTATGTTAGAGAGTCTTCTACACGCCTCAGTGACCGCATTGCCGTTGGATGTAGTCCAAGTGTCGCGGTTCCATCGTTGTAGCCACACGCGGCGTGAGGAAACCGACGCTTTGGTGCGCGCTGGCCAACTTTTAATTCACTTGATGCCGCCCAGCAGTGCCCACTGTCGCACCGTGGGAGTCGCCAACGGTAGGCGCCTGCGTCAATGTGCGACAGCACTCTCGAAGCATTTTCAAAGCAGCTTCTTGACCCGTCCCAGCGCTGTCGACGTCACATGGAGGAGAGATCGTCCCACGACATACCTTGTTGCCGACGCGACTTCTTGGTCTGCTTTTATTAATAGCTGCGAGGCGCAACGCACGAGGTTGTATATTTTTGGCCATATCGGCCCGGGGGTTGCGAAACCAATCAACCGAAACTACCCTATGTCGGTGTCGATTGCTAACGTGCAAAAACCAACTGACAGAACGCATGACGTGCTTCCTTCGCGCATCCAGCACGACCGTGCGCTTCCTCAACGTCGTCGTCGCGCTGCTCCAGGTGACTGCCGGTCTCAACGGCGTGTTTAGCTTGACCCACCTTATGACGCTCGACTGGGCACCCGTCTTCATCTCTGCGTACGCGATGCTGGTTGCGATTCCGCTCCTCCTCTTCGAGTGCAAGTGCAAGGTCTTTCAGACGTCGCTGCGCCACCACTGCGGCTTTCTCTTCCACTTTTACGGCCGGTGCGGGTACCTCGTGTTCATTGCGCTCCTCGACGTCGGCGTGCCCGGTGGTCTCGGCGTCGTCGCGGCGCTCACGATTGCGGGAACGATCGGCCTCATGCTCTTCCTCCGCTGCTGCGGCGCCAAGGACGATATTGTCGACGAAGAGATGGCGCTGACGAGCCGCACCGCGGCGCAGGACTACCAGGCGCTCGCGTCCTCCAAGGCTGTCAAGAAGGTCGTCAAGCTCGCGAGCATTACGACGACCGACCTTTGAGCATGCGCGTTAGTAGAGATGTGGAGAACTTTAAGAAGTTTGATTCGAGTGGCGGCAACGCGTTCCAGTGTTTTAATTCCAATGCATCGAATGCGTTTGAAAAGAGTGGGCAAAAAGGGCTGTAAAACCCATCGATTGGATTCATTTGGACCAAACAAGCTACAGCTGTACATCCAAACCCCAAGTGCACGCGAAACCAGTGCGCGTACCACATGGCTGCAACAGACGGCAGCTAACAGCACTTGTGGTCTTCCTCTTGCCTCGCGCGTGTCTAAACAACCACGTAACGAGCGATTGCGTCTTCTCCGAGTTGGGTTCCGTCGCAACAAACTGTGGTTGCTTCTCGTATGACGCTATAATGGATATTTCAACGCGATTTCGGAATGCGGAGCACAAGAGTAGGCGGTTCAAAGAAAGTGAGTGAGTGGACAGCTTCCAGTCTATAGTGACCGCTTGTCAACTGAACGATGTGGCATACGTACAGCTGATCGGTGAACCAGCTGTGGCGAATTCTCTATCCAAGGCCGAGCACCTTTGGGAACTTTAAATGTATTGATGCCCCGCCTGCCTGGTGGTGGGTGAGGCGGGTATAGCGTTATGCTATGGGCTGCAAATCGGGAAATGGCTCGGGTGCCGGTTGGATGACGCTTTGGTCTTCGCACCGAACACCTCTTCCACTATTACAAAAACACTGTACTTCGAAATGGCCTGTCCCATATCGTGGAGGGAGCCACGGGCTAACAACACTCGCTACGAAGGGCACAAACCACCTCCACTGAAGCCAATACCAGGAGTTCTGCTGGCTGTGAAAAAAAACTGTTGTCTGGAGCACTCCGACAAGATCTCGTTCCGATTGGATGAATCGCAATCGCTTCAGAGTGTGCTCATCCTTCTATGTGTACTAGTACTAGTAAGTGTACAGGACCAGGTACTCGCGGACGGCTTGGTTCGGATAAGGTGGGCTGCCTGTGAATAGAACATGTGAAATTTGTGTTTTTAACTAAAGCTGGATTGCCGCATTCAGTCTTTGCGCGCTGCCACTACCTCGCACTGCCGCTGCATCGTGCCTCCGTTCCTGCCACTGCCGCGCGCCTCTCCGCTGCCGCCGTGCTCTGTCACTTCCGCCGCGCGTTCCGAGACAGGTGTGTATGCAGATGCTCATGTATTGTCCGAACTTAGAGCTGTTTGTCGTAGGGAACATGACGTTGCTCCTGGGCATCCGCCCGGTCTTGTTGCGCGCGTGCGTTCTGGCGAGCCCTCTCGGCATCCTGCAGGATCAGGACCTCTACTCAAGCTCTGGAGCCGTGACCTCGGCTGCACGTACGTATCTCTTGTGTCCCCTGCGGGATAATGGCGTGTGCTCCACGGTCACGTCCGTCAACACGACTCGCAAGGTCTCTGATCATGTTGGATTGGGCCTGGACAAGATCCAGAAGAGATCGTTGCATTGCTGCTTGTTCTTGGAGCAAGCCCGTCATGCCGTCCAGCTTGCGTTTGAGGATTTTGAACTCGGCCTTGGTTTCGAGCTTCAATTTGGTTGCTGTCTGGTCCATTGCCTGCACGCGCGCTCCAATCTTTTCAAGCACTTGGCCGAGGGCATCGCTCTCGAGATCGGCGAGTTTGGACCTGTACCGTTTGGCTTGGCAGCAAAGGTAGCACGTCGAGGTAGAATTCTCCTTGGCGTCTTCGCCAGAGACTTTGCACGCAGTAAAGATGTCGCGCATGCAAGTCGTGACGGGGCGGAGATCCAAACTAGAATGCTACGCTCTGCCGACCAGGTGCTGGTTTCACTGAGCCGTCTTCTCTTGAAAAGACCGTTCCAACTCGTCGCAGGCGCGAAACACCCGCTTGTTCGTTTAGGGGAAAAAGGCGCGAGGCCTGCATTACCGCTCACCTCGGGTAAGACGCGGCGGCTCCCCCAAAGGCATGCGGCTGCCAGAGAAATTGTACGTACTACTCTCCAGAGAGCTGCACCCGACCCCATCAAGGGACCCATCGAGAAGACCGACATCATCTCCACCCGCATCGAAATCCACGCGTCAAGTCTACCGCGTCCTACACGTCCTAGAATCCACCGCGAACGAGTGCCACCAACAACACAAAGGTCAACCAACCGGACAGAACCAAACAATCAACGTCACCTTCTTTGTCGAGATCAAATTATTTCATGCCTTCAACGACAGGTATTAGGGTAGGACACACGCTTCTTGTTCTTGTTGAATGAATCATTTAATTTGAAGATACGGTGGACTTCCTAATGCGCGCGTGAGACGTGGTCGGTGCGTCAAGCGAGGAGCGTTAATAGTGGTCGTGAGTCGTGACTGTGCGAGGGACCAGGTAGCGTGCAGCAAGGGTCGTCTTGGAGAGCGACGAGCGACGCGTCAAGAGATGGCACCGCAGCGCGACGAGCCAAGTGCCGGACATGCAATCGTGCGATAGTAACTGCCCGATATATCGCAGCAGTGGGGAGTTACGCGTTGTGCGAAAGTCACGGTTGTTGCGTTCGAGCCAAACACAATACCAGACGATTCTGGTTTTCTCCACAAAAAACAAATAACCGGAGCCAGTCACTGGATTCATTGCGAGCGCTCAGGGGAGCGCGAGTAAACAGGCTACGCTTCCTACATCTTTCCGCCATGTAAAACAATACAGCAAATAGACTAGCGTCAAGAACACGCGAGCGCGCCTGCAAACGCAACGCCCACTGTTTTCAGTTTTCGCGCACACGTGTTCGTCCTGCCATCATCGCACCAGCCTGCTACATCTCGGACGGTGTGGAGGCCTGATTCGAGCCTCCCAGACGACCTTCCAAGCGACCCACACGTCACTGTAGCGCGTTTAGAATGCGGTATGCACTGTTACAGTGTACTACCATTTGGCATTGGCCAAATAGAGAAGCGTGAGTTATCACGACATGCACGACGGCCTTGTCGAGTGACACGATGCATGTTTGCGTATACCTGTGGTACCAAATAAAAAGGTCCCTCGCAGTCCCCGGCCGCAAATAAAAAGGTCTCACGCAGTCCACGGCCGCAAGTTCGTGTCAAGAGATTATGTCATTATTCCATTGGACTCATGACGCGCACCAAGTGCCGGAACGCTTACCAGCGCATGATGCAGCGCCGGTACAAGCAAGCCCACCTCAAGCTCCGCGCCGAGCTCATCGAGACCGCTGCACTTCTCGAGAAGCACCTCGCACTGCGCCAAGCCACACCGATGGTATCGTGGAAGGATATTGCCGACGAGCTGCGCGCCGACGTGGACCGTCTCCGGGAAGAAAACGCGTCACTTCATAACGTGGTGCAAATCCAGCAGCAAGTGATCTTCGACTTGCGCGCGCGGCGATTAGCGACTGAAAGCGGGATGGACCATGACCTGAACGAGTTAAATCATAACGTTTATTCATGTTAATTAACACTGCAGTACTGTCTGTCTAGAAGCTCGATGTGTCTTGCTTTTGTTTGCCGTCGCGCTTGAATGACTCGAATTCGCCTTTCATTTCTGTCACGAAAAGAATGTCGTCTGCTCCAAGCGGTGTGTTTCAATCCGGAGAAGCACACCGCAGTCGGACAGGGCGGTGCGCCACAACACGCCGCGCCATGGACCACAAACGGGCCGGGCTCAACGACGCTGCGCTCATGCGAATTCTGGAAACTCCTGTCCGTAGGATACCTCGTTCGCCACAGTGCATGAGAAAGGGCCACGGCGGTACTAAGCAAAATATACATCTGGTGCGGGATTCCCGCCATGTGCTGCTTACCGCCACAGACATCAATCGAAACGTCACCCAGTTTGCATTCTGCCCATGTCGATGACCGCCGTACAGTGGTACGTAACGATTGATGCCGCCAAGGTTCTTCACGCCAGCTTGGATTTCGCCCCTACGACGGTACCGTCGCCAGAGCACCGTGGTATCTAGTCATCCCCATGCCCATTTCCCCACGCCATCACATCTGCCTAGTGCAATTGTACGCGCGCGGCAGGTTCCGAGCTTTTTCGAAGCGATTTCCTCGCACGTCCCAGCGTCGCGCAGGGATCGTTTGTTTTGTCGAGTGTCGTGTTAAAAACGCGCCGGGTTCGTTCCACAACAACCAACCTCGTCGTGTCGTGGTGTCATTGCTCGTAGGCTCGCTTCACGTCTTCGCGTCAACCCTTGGTGGGGGCGCCACTCGCGCTCACACAATCCCGCAACAAGACCACGATGGCTTCTCGCTTGACACAGCACATAATTAATAATTCCCCCATAGTTATGCGTGCAATGCATTGTTGCAACAACAAACGATTGGGTCGAAGCATGAGCCCCAAAGGCACGCGAAACCAGCGCGCGTACCACGTGGCCACAACAGACGGCAGCGCGTCCACTCAACGCATTACACCATTTTGATGGATTGGTGCCAGCTGGTGCATCGCGTGTCGTCTCGAACTGGGTTCAGTCGCAACGAACTTTAGTTGAGCTTCTTCATGACCTGCGGCAGACCCGGCTGCTGCACCCCCGCGTGTTTGAACGCGAGATGGACCAACGGAACTCCCTCTACTGCATTGCATTCCTGCTCCTCTGCAGACATAGTATCTGTGTCCGTTCGCAGAATAATCTGCTTCACGGTCCGCATACTAATATGTCGTATCCCAATCAAGCAGAGCCGTGGTTTGCTCGCCAACGTGTAGCTTTGCTATTTGTTGTTGAAGTGGGTCGTCTATTACAATAGATAAAACTATGCTATATAAAATTGTCAGACTTGCCTCGTTGTGTAAACTCGGTTGAGGAACTTTAGTTAGGGATGCGGAGACAGGAGCGCGATTCGCGGGACGAGGTGACGTCGCGGCCACTCGTACTGTGCGAGGAGCCGGAGAAGCCGAAGAAGAGCAGGCTGCTCGGGCTCTTGGACGAGGCTGTGGTGCAAGTGCAGTTGAGCGACGCGTGCCGCCTTGACGGCAATCGTCCATGGACTTGGCAGCGGTAGGCCGGCGCGAAAGACGCGATCGTTCCGGACTCGCCAGACGTTGAACCAGACGCAGGCGCGGAGCACGGGCCAGAGGTAGCGGAACGCGGCTTGGTGCATGTTGGACGTCGTCTTGGGCGTCGAGTAGAGGTAACCTGAGAGCGTTGTCGGCAAGGTCACGCCCAAAGGGACCGTGACGGCGTGAAGCGTGCTCCACACGTGTGTAGCTTTGCTATATAGACTGCGACACTTGGAAGAGCTTTGATGAGTGTGTTATGTTGGGCCTCACCCGGGACCGCCAGTGCCGACAGGCAACTACAGAAGAGCAAAACGAGCCTGCACCGCCACGGGTTGGCAAGTCTTTACTACGTTGTTGTTGAAGTGAGTCTATTTAGATATAATTTACACTGAACTGGATATGGTGGTGGACTATCGATTCCAAGGTGCTACGATGAGCCGGCCGCCGAGAGGCTTAGCCGAGCGGGAGAAGTAGTCTTTACTACGTAGTAGCTTTCAATGTCTATAATGCATGCACAACCAAGGCCATAAATTCTGGCACAACTCACGTTCATACAAATATATATACAGCTATCAAGCAGATTGCGTTGTTTTTGTACAAGCGTGCTTTGCGTTAGCATCGTCTTGTAAAAGTCACACCTAATATAATGCGCAGCGACGAGCACACGCTCTGGAGCCGTCGAGAAAGGCGCTTCAATGTGGCACGTGCCGCGTTTCTCGATTTGTGCCGAATTGAACAAGCGTAACCGGCGTCCGGATACGCTACTACCTTGTTTGGAAGCTCCATTCTGGCCATGTCCTTTTACCTTGTGAGCGAAGGCTTGACGTAAGCAGGCGCTCCATGGCATGCGACGTCGACGAGATGCGTAGGTGCTTTGGCCTGTGCTCGGGCGCGTACCAGTCGCTCAAGTTCCTGCACCAGGCCGACCGCGCCAAGTCGCAGGGCCACACAAGCGTGCTCAAGCTATGGGCGGTCCTCGGGTCGCTCATCCTCTATCAGCAGTACGTCGAGGTCTTCCTCTCGTGGTTCCCATTCTACTACTGGGCCAAGTGCGTGCTCCTTGCTGCGCTCTTGACGCCCAAAACAAACGTTCCGTCGCTCGCGTTCGAGGCCGTCGTCGTCCCGCTGGTCGAGGCCGCCGAGGTCGTCTTCGACACGCGCGTCAAGCCCGCGCTCGTGCAGCTGGCCGCGCGCCACGGCTACTGGCTTCACTGCGCTGCCATGCAAGTGGCGCTACCGAGCCTCGCCGACGCCGAGCTCGAAAAGCTGGCCGCCGAGCTGCAACGCCGGCTCGCCGATATCCAGGTTCGACTAGTATGGTCTGTCCATGGACCGAGGCTCCATCATCATCCTATGGATGTAGGCGCTCCAGCAAGCGCGTGCAGACGCCGCCGACGACTAAATGCGAGCATAAATACAAGTCGATTACGCTGCCGACGGGCTATTCTCGAGCGTTGCAAGCACCTCTTGGAGGGTGGTGATCGTGGACGGGAACGACGGCCGCGCCGCTGCGTCTTCGGCCCAGCAAGTTTCGGCGAGGCGGAGGAGCGCCGGCGGCCACGTGGCTTCGAGCGCCGCGAGCGACGGGCGAAGCCCTTCGAACGCAATCTTGGTGACGAGAAGCTTCTTTTTCATCTTTTCGGCCGCGAGCTCGGCATACGGCATCTGACGCGTCATGATCTCGACCATGACTATTCGTCAGTCCAGTGAGAGTTTAGTTAGTACATGCTACGTCGAAGGACTCGACTCGATCAACGACGTACCAATGGCAAAGCTGTACACGTCGACCTTTTCGTCGTACTCTTTCTGGCCCCGTAAGATCTCGGGCGCGGTCCAGATCGGCGACCCGAGGAGCGTCATTTCGCCGTTGGTCTTTTCACGACTAAACTCAAAATTGGCAATTTTGGCTTTGAAATCTGTCCTAAAACAATCAACCGTTGAGATTCCAGCACAAAAGGCGAGAGGGCGTAATACGTGACGTGGATGTTGGCGCATTTGAGATCGCGGTGCAGCACCTGCGGCGTGTGCGCGTGGAGGTACGTCATGCCCCGCGCAACGTCGAGCATCATGCGCACACTCGCTTCGGGTGAAAGCGAGACGTCGGGCGACTGCAACAGCGTCGCGAGGTCGCCGCGTGCCAACTGCTCGGTGACCATGCAGCTAAACGTCGCAATAAGATCGTAGTCGGCCATCAAACAACTGGGCAGCATACATGGAGGACTCCGAGTCCCAGCTCGCGCCAATGCACTGGACGATGTTGGGATGGTGCATGTCGATGACGAGCCGCGTGACGCGGGCAAAACGCTCGACAGCTTCCTCTGTAATGCGCGTGCGGAAGAGCTGCTTGACGAGGACGGGCGTGCCCGTGTACGTGCCCGGGCGGACGCACTCCCACGGTGGGCTATGGGTCGTCAAGCGCTCGCCGAGTCGAAGCGCCTTGAACGGAATCGCAATCGTGCTCAGCGTCAAGTCGGAGGAGAGATGCTGCTCGATAAAGGTCGTACCAGGCGCACGTGGCGCAGGCGACGTCGACGCGGGTGGCTGCACCGGCGAAGGTGGCGGCGGGTCGATGGTTTGGCAATTGCCCATGGAGTATAAATTGCACTGTGATCGCCAGTTTGCACTTTCGATTGGTAACAGATTCACACTATTTAGAGAGATTCGTGGTCCGGGTTGACCGTCGAGGGCTCGAGCCGATGTGGACATTTGTGGTTGTCAGCGACTGCCCGCGCCCACGATTTATCGAGGCCACGGAACAAGCGAGCATATAAGCGACCGAATCGAGATTCGCCGAGGGGCAGACCACACACGTCGTGTGCGACAACCAAACATTTTAGCCAATTATTGCACGACGACCAAAATGGGGCGATGGGATTGGTTGTAATGCAATGCGAGGACGTGCTTCTGATTGGTTTCTTCTTTGGATTTTGGTCGAGTGTTGGAAATAGTGTGAAAGAGGGGAGTTGACAATCGTGTGCAGCGTGCTTTTTATTGGTAATCCCTACGACGAGCACGTGAATTCGGCAACGATTTAGGCTTGTCACAAGCCTAAATCGTCACACAAGCCGCTTGTGTGACTTGATGTCACTTTCGGCCCGTCGACTTGGTCAAAATGGACTATGGAGCTATATCACTTTGTTTATGTGAAGAGTCTTTTGTGTCGACCACCTTTTGTCCAGACGGTAGATTCCTGCTTCACATGCAGGAGGTGCAGGAGCCCCGTGGTGCTTCCCTTTCTTCACGTGCCCATTGGCGCTGTCATCGGGACTAAAAAGTGGGCTCTTGATACTTTTGAATCAATGTGTCGATGTACATATATATATGTATGTACCTTGCCGTGCACGCATCGCTCAGAGCCCAACGAGTGTGTTGATCGTCTGATGTACTACAACGTAGTTGTAAGCTTAATCGTGCTCTCTTGATATCGTAACTTGGAAACAACGACGGACAATGTGGAGTCGAGTTGCAACGTTGAAAAGAGCGGGGTACGAAAGATCTACCTACATTCCGTGGCGCGATGGAGAATGATGCACATACAATGTACATGTACATACTGGTGAAGCGCAGCTGTCGTTGGCAGTCTACACTGTAAGCTCACATTCCAGGCTCAGCAGCGAAGAACTTGCCCCGTGGGATGCGTTCTGTGGCGCAGATTCGCCTGTAAGTTGTAGTTTGCTGGATATACAATATCGTCTTAAGTAGCTACGGGTATATCTCCAATACACGCTGAAAGTCAGGAAGAGGTGATCAAGTCAGAGTGTCATGTGGCTTGCTCGCGCCTCCATTCTTGGGTTCCCATGATCAGCACTCCTCCTTGGACCGTAGCGATTTGCTATCATTCAGCCAATCCGTGTGTCTTGTACTTTTGATTCGTCAAAAAGAGCCAATCACACGTCGTCTGATAGCATCATTTCGAATCCATTGCAACAGTGTGATGACCTTGACCCGCACGCAGCTCGCGGTCTCGGCCGCCTATGGCACCTTGGTCTGGGCAGTCAAAGCTGCCTTTGTCCGCCTCAACCGCTTCGACGCGGGTCTCTTCACGCCCAATGCCAATGGCTCGCACACGACACTCCTCTTCATCGCCAGCGTGCCCATTGCCGCCATCTCGGTCGTCGGGCTGCGCGTGATCCTAAATGCGACGGCGCTGCCGAAAAAATCGGACAAGAAATCCCCGAGCTCGGCGCTCGTGGTTGCGACCGCGTTTGCGACGGCCGTTGCCCTCATCTTTGACGGGGCCGCCATGACATACACCCCGTCGTTCGACGGCGGCATGTTGGCCGCGGGCGCGTGGATCTTGTGGGCGGTGGCTGGGGCCTTCTAATGGTCCTCGACAAATAGTGGCGCGTGCGTCGTTCATGCGAACCGTTGAAAATTGTACTCGAACGAGTCTCGTGTTTTGTCTCCATGTAGCCACCGTCTTCACCCAGACCGAGGTATTCGTACAGTCGCGTAGGTCGTGCGCGCGAGTGTATTTTAGTTTTCACATCAACACTTGAGAGACAGAGTACAAAACTATACTCAGTACTCTTTTAACTCGGTATTATTGAAGCGTAAATGGAATGTGCGTCAACCGAACGCGATGGAAATAGCACCCAACGCTTGGCTTGCAAACCAAGGCACTTGTTATGTCGACCTAGTTCCACGAGTACTTATTCGATGTTCATCAATTCGAATCCACGGCATGGAATCAAAGCTCTGCGAGATCCTGCCTCGACCATGCTAGCGCGATCGACATGGCGTGGTACTAGCTCTCGCATCCGCTTTCGCCAGCGACATGAACGCAGTCATATCTTTCGGACGCAGAGGGGGTGTATTCTTAAATAAGGGCGTCCTTACCGCGCACAGAGGTCGGCGAGAATCATCTCGAGACAATCCATGATGCGCACGAAAGACGGGCGCATCGTCGGGTCGCTCGCCCAGCACGCACGCAGGAGCTGCAAAAGGCTCGGCGGCCACGCGGCTTCGTTGCGAATCGTCGGGCGGCGGTGTTCAAAAGCAACCTGGCGCAGCAGCTGCGCTTTCTCGTCCCGCGGAACACTGGCGAACGGCGCCTCGCGGTTCAAGAGCTCGACGATGACTAGCACACGATCAAGCGCTGCTTCCACGCCTGCATTCAAAGGTCGGATTCGTACCCATCGCAAAGCTGTAAATGTCGACCTTCTCGTCGTACGCGGTGCCACGCATGATCTCGGGGGCCACCCACACGGGCGTGCCGACGATCGCGGTCAATGGCGTCGGCCCGAGCTCGACGCTGCTTTCGAGGTTGGCGACCTTGGCCCGCAGATCTTGCCTACTCGACTCAAAATCAGCATGAGGAAATTGAAAAACAAAAATGCGCGACTACCCAATGTGAATGTTGGCGCCGCGCAAATCCCGGTGCACGATCTTGGGCTCCTGGCAGTGCAAATACGCCATCGCTCGCGCAATATCGAGCAAGATGGCGACGCTCGCGATGGGCGAGAGATCAATCTCGGGCATGGCAGCCACGGACGCGAGGTCGCCGGCGTCGAGGCGCTCCGTGACCATGCAGCTAGGGTATATCCATTGAGGCGAGAGAAACGCGAGGCGGAAGATGGCTACATGCAGTCGTCGCCGTCCCAGCTCACGCCAAAGAACTGCACAATGTTCGGGTGCCGCACACCGAGCATGAGCCGCAGAATGTACACGAGGCGGTCGGTCGTCGTCTTGGCCGCGGCGCGGCGCGTCATTTGCTTGAGGAGCACGCGCGCGCCGTTGTACGTGCCGTCGTATACGGCATCCCACGGCGCGAGCGCGCTCGAGTAGCCGTCGGCGCGGCCGTCGACCTTGAGCTGCGACATGGGTATCGTGGCGTCCTCGACGTTGACATTCGCCAAGAGGACCGACGCCGGGTCCCGCGCCGTCGTTGGCGTCGGCGTCGGCGGTGGCGCAATCGACTTGACGCGCGTTGGCACGACGACGGCGTCGGTCGCTATCGATTTGCTGTTGAGGCAGTTGCCCATGCCGCTTCTTCGTCTGCGGTGCAAAAGCGCCAATGCACGCACGCACCCATGGCAACGGATAGGGTTCGATTGTTGAACCTCCGACATGGCGCAGCATGTGGTAGGGTCTCTGCAACCGCGCTGGAAGCCACCGATTTTTCGCGGGTGTCCACGCGGGAAAAGGCTGCGGTGAAAGGCTGAAGTGCGTGGGTGCTTTCGCCAAGAACTCTCAAGTCCTGGCTACTCGGCACGCAGGCGCGCGTGTCGGCGGCGGAGAAACTGCACCGTCGTCGATGGCGCACCATATGACGTGGCGGGCCATTAGACTGACGTCACAAACTGCTACTTGGATGAGTTTGCCTTTTCTTGGAGATGCCGCGACACGACTCTTAACAACGATGCCGTGGTAGTATAAAGCACGACCGATGTCGTAACGCATTGCAACGACCTTCTCGCTGCCATCGAGTGAGAGGCCCGCAGCTGCGATGCGCTGGCGTCAAGGAAGACTAGGAGCTACTTTGTACAGTACGTTGACCGCCCATGGATTGCATTGGCCCAGCGACCGGAGGTGCTCGGCAAGCACGATCGGTTTCTTCTTCTGACGACGACAGCGCTGGTGGTCGTTCGCCAACGAGTTGAGATTTGGCTCGACGAGAGTCTCACCTTCCTGTAGAAGGGGCGTTTTTAATCCCTTGCAGCGTCGCAGATCGTCGATGGATGCACCGTACGATCTCACAATGTGAGATCGAGCTCCCTTCTTGACGAATGCAATGAATTCCTCATGCTGCATACTACTATTAGCATGAGGAATTCATTGCATTCGTCAAGAAGGGAGCTTCTTGGTTGGATCCACTATCCACCGTGGCCCGCACTACATCATCATTTGTGCCTCGGTATGTGGGTTTATGCGTGCGTCGCCGGGTGAGCTCACCGCTGAGACCTGGAGCTGACACCCACAGCCAACAGGTTCGTCCAACCGGTGAGTCGATTAGCATGTAGAAGGTTTCTCTTGGTTTCACTTGCCGCGGTCATACTGTAACCGGTCGTCCACGCACGTGTTTCTTCTCTGCGCCAGCAGTTCCCACCAACTTCCTCACCTCTTTATTGCATTGGCCGTCGTCTCTAGTTCTCTAAGCAGAGCAAGAGACCTGGGAGCGTACGTGGTGCGCCATGCCAGTGCACATGGAAAGCAACCAAGAACGTTCCGCACGATCATGGAAGCACTGTATTATACTAGTATGTAATAGCTAATACTTTATACTAGTCACTTCACGCTTGAGTTGGCGAGCATGGCGCATGTTTTTGGCGGACAGCTGGGTCTTAATAGTCGTTCAACAACCGTTCAACCAAGTCCAGATTCTTGAGGCGCGCAACAATCGTGTCAAAGGTCGGACGCTTCTCGGGATCAGCGCTCCAGCACTCTTCCATGAGGTCGAACAAGTCGGCGGGCCACTCGGCCGTGCGGTCAAAGACGGGGCGGTAGTGCTTTTGGACGACGTGCTCCAAGATCGTTGCTTCGGGGGCGTCGACGTTGGCATACGGCTCTTTCTTGGTCACGACTTCGACAATCACTAAGCAATTATAGTAAACGACATTTCAAGAGAGGGCCAGACGTACGCATGGCGAAGCTGTAGACGTCGACCTTTTCCGTGTAGCTGGTGGCGCCGGTGAGAATCTCGGGCGCGGCGTGGTACGGAATCCCGATGTTGGTCATCACGTTGGCATACGCACGCGAGTACTCCTTCGTGCCGACCTTTGCACTGCCCTCGCTCCTAGAGAGATAGAGCATGACGCACGTCTGAGCGACGACCGATGGCATGTGGTACGTGAGATAAATGCAGCTGGTCGTGAGCATGCGGTGGATGATGTTGCGGCTATGGAGGTAGCGCATGCCATCGGCGACGTCGAGCAAAATCTGGAGGCTGCTGCGGACGTTCAGGGGCCGTCTCGGAAGCAAATCGTGCAACGTAACTCCGCTCGTCCGTTCCGCGACGACGCAGCTACGCAGGCAGAGCGGATTGTGAGCCGCGTCGAATCGAGTCTGAAAGGTGTACACGTCGTTTTCTTGGCGCACCATGCCGTGAAGCACAAGCACCGTGGTCGTGTCGGGCGTCTTGCTGAGGAAGAGCTGCTTCATGCGCACGAGGATTTCCGTCCGGAGGCAATTGACGGGCATGTAGAAGTAGTGGACGTCGCACCACCGCTGCTCTTGTGGGAGGAAGAGCCTGCCGTCGTGGACCTTGGTGCAGGGGGCATCGCTTCGATGGTGGATACGCTACCGATCTTGATGTGGTTTGGGCTGATCGTGCACAGCGCGTCGATTTCGTCAAGAGAGGGTGGCATTGCGCGCGTCATGGTAACTTGAATAATGGCCTGATCGACTCGTTGTCGTCAGAACGGGACAGAAATCATCAAGTGGCCAGCAAACTGTGCTGGCCAGTTGATTATAGTAATCGGCTTTGCTGAGCGATTCTTTTCAGGTGGTGTCGACTCTTCTCCCGTTGGCTTCGGTAGCAACGAGCTGGATCCTGAATCGTGTCAAAGCGGGGTAGCGAGGAAAGGTCATTCTACTAGCAGATGTGCAAGAACTCTATGCCGAGGATGGATGTGTCGAGGATGGATGTGCCATGACTATATAGCAAACATGATGTGGTCACGGAGCCATTGATGGTCGGCCACCGAGTGGCCAAACACAGGTGGTGGACTGGGAATACCGGTAGAGCGGAAGCACAGAACGTGGTGCGCTTCTTGACAAAAACAACGAGTCCTTCGGTGCTTGGCGATTTTTTATCAAATTCCAGATAACTATTTTCAAATATCGCTAGGTACACTCGAAGAGAATAAATAAGCTTATTTATTCCCTTGGGTACACTATACGATCCGTGCGTCCAGTCAACAATCTTGTGCAATTCAACAACAATCTTGTGCAATGCAAAGTAGCCAGGATTGTGAACAGATGGTAAATGAGGGTTTGTGATTGGTTGGCTTGAAGGTCCTTTTATTAATAGACCGTACCATCGTCGCCGGTGCGGCCCAGCCTGCTTCAATATTATTCAGCTTAGTGGATAAGGGTTCTATCTCTGTATGTGATTGGAAGATATTTCGGGCGAAATGGAGGGTGGTTGAGTGGGTTGGATACTTGGCGCCAAGTACAGTGCACGCCACCTAAAGCCTACCAAATCGACCTTTTTGTAACAATTTCGACCCGGCGTTATCCGGATCCGGACGAGAAGAAAAATTTCCTGAAAGGCATCGAATTAGGTTACGAAGCACGCAGCGGTGCTGTTTATGGTTATAAAGCTATCGTTTACGCCTTGTCTAGCACCGACATGTTGATACGCCGATGTGAGCGTTGCTTCTTGACGGCCCATTCCGCTGCCTCCAACGAGAGGCCTTTGCGATAGGCGTCCATGTACCGCCAGCACTTTCTGGCGTAGCGACGGATGGAGGCTAATTTGACGTGCTCCATGGCAGCTTCGATCATCGGGAGAAGCTTTGCGAACGAGTAATCGCAATGCTCTCGGCAGTAGTACTTGAGGGCACCCCAGTACATCTCGATGAAGTTGAACTCGCAGTGAAACTTGGGCAGAAAGAGAGCGACGTGCCCAGCAGCCTCAATGGTTTCTTCAACGCGGCACTTCTGGGACGTGAAGTCGGGCTGGGATCCGAGGAGGTCCTTGGCCGTGTCGAGTCTGAGGCTGGCGCTCCAAAGGCCCCGCTCCTGGAGTACGATCTTGATACCCTTGGGCGTTTCGTCGGGAGCTTTGACCATCGACTGCGTGACTCGCACGCCATCCTTCTCGTACCAGCCGTCGCGCAGCTTGGGTTGCTTGCCGCCGGGGTTGAGGTTCATGTTTGACGTATTGAGCGCGTCGGCAGCAAAAGCACCGGTTGGTGCTGTTGTCGAACAGAAAGACGCCGACGCAGTCCGGGTGCAAGGCCTCGAACACAGGGAGCATCTTCTTCTTGATCTGCTGGAGGAGGTGGTCCGCTGTCCACCAGCCTTCTGCGTTCTTGCCTGGCGTGAGCATCTCCATCGTCGCGAGCTCGACACCGTCGAGGACGACTTGCATGCGGCCGTGACACTCGCACAGAAACTCGGAGATCATCCAGTTTTCGGGCCTTGCGTGCGCGCTCCAAGTGCAGGTATCGCTTGGTCTTCCGAGGCATGGAAAAATGGCTGAGAGAGCACATCATCCGGATAATGACACCTCATCCGGCGCCGGTGGGCCTTATCCGGGGGGGGCTTCATGTTATCCGGTGCATTTATGTTACAATTTCGGACCCCGTGGTCCTGTGTTGCCCAACTTTGAACGCCCATAACTTCGTCCGTTTTTCGTTTCATCGCGATCGGCTCTTATACATCGCTTCGTCTTGGACAGAACAGTCGATTTATAACGTCCTTTCGGTATAAAAATTAAGACTCAGAGCTAGGATTCAAAAGTTTTGGACCACATCCATCTGGTAGGCTTTAGGTGGCGTGCACTGTAACAAGGTACCGGTATGGCGCACCATGGTGAGGCTGCAGGGTGTAGCCTGCGTCCGCCAGTATGTATCCGGTCTGAGGAACTACTCTAGTTCGACCCCAGCCTGGTTCTACCTAAAACAGAGTCGTTGTATATGCCTTGGTCGTTTTGGTAGCCGGGCTTGATCGAGATGGCGAGGAAGCGTTGGCGCGCGTCATTCACAGCCGTGACGTCAAAGGCAGGAAAACCTTTGCGGCAGAACCAGCCCTCGTGTTCGGCGAACCAACGGATGCGGATTAAGGGACCGTTGATGGCACAGCAGACGCTCGGGAAGCCGGCGATGGCCTCGAATTCGGCCCCGTTGCGACGCCACTCCTCCTTGGACAGCGGAATCGCGATCGTGGAGTGAAGGTAAACCTTGATACGCACGTGAACGACTTGGTCCGTATTGAATCGTCTCGCGAGCGTCCGGGAAATACTGAACACTGGACCAGTGCCGTCGAATCCGTCGGCGTGAGCCAAGTAGAACATGACGATACTGTGCTGGGCGTGATGATGAAGCGGCCCGCGTGCGACGCCTACTGCGGCTTCGACACGCTCGGCAATCTTATAGAAGACGGCGCAGGAGCAGCGGAGGTAGTGCTTGAACCACGCGTACATGCGACCGTTGTCCTTGACGCACAACCAAATAGTTGGACCCGTCACGGCAAATTGGCGCTCCTTGGGCGTGGTTCCTGTCGACCGACAGGCGCGTCGCCACGGAAGGCGCGAGTATGAAAGAAGCAAGTGACGGCAGCGTATATTCGTCGTTCGTGGGTGGCGAGCTGGATGTCGCCATGCCCGGTCCCAATGTGGACGACCCACGGCAAGGGCCAGTGGTGTTTCCTCCACAACTAACTCACGCAGTTGAGCAACCTTGCGGTACGTCGTGAAGTAGGTATTTGCTGTGCTAACCTCATGGGCCTCCCATTGGCATCCTCAGGCGCCCGTTGTTCACCAGGACGTCATCGTTCCCAAGTCCGTCCTTGGGTCTGGGTCCCAAACCCAAGCGCGGTGGTAGCTTTGACGCTCCGTTGCGGTTGCTGCTCTCTGCTACCATGGTCGACGCGCAGAAGCTCGACGTTTTCTGCAGAATTAACGAGGAGATCAAGGCCAAGCCCCCCAGTAGGCCATGCGTGAAAGTGGCAGATTTTTCAACGTTTCGACTCTCGGACCGATGTTGGCTTGCCTTGCCAAGTACTGCATTAACGACAGAGCTCGCTCCTTGGAAAAGCACCCAGACTACATGCGGCTGACGGTGGCCGTGGACCAACCAAACTCGTTATCTATGTAATACTATAAAGAGCTTCGACGGCTAAGCCGGCGGCAAGCAAAAGCGAGCGCCTCCAGCCGCGTGTCGTTGTCGCTGGCGGGCAAGCCGAACCGAGACGACAGCCGCCTCATCTGTGCCACGGTGAAACGGTTCCGCTCGTGGCGTCGTCAACGCGGGTGTCGAACTTGTTGGCAAAGTTGATGACGCATGGCGGTGGGCGAAGGTGGAGGACGTGTTGCACCACGCAGAGCTGCAGTAGCTTTGTAAAAAAACCACCGGCATCCTCTAGTGCACGAGGTGCGCCGTGGCCTGCTCCAGCGAGAGCCCCGGGACTCGTAAAGTCATATATCTCGAGCTCTTCTGTGCTGATCCCCAACGACAGATAAGTGAGCTGGTAGAGCCGCCGCCATTTTGTATGAGCTGGCGGTTTGGCTAGGCTAGTCGGTTGGAGATGGCACCCTTGCTTGGCATTGGTACAAAAACACAGTTTCACGCGTTCTGCAAGAAACTATCCCACGATCTCAATGAGAGCCATGTTGGATGATGGCTTTTGATTCAGGCGACTGCAGGGGACGGAATGGTGTGTTTCTGCGTGTACCGGTAGTGTCTTGGATTCCATTCTAGAGAGCGTAGCGGTGGCATCTCGCGCCATTAAAGAGCATGATGACCACCGCTGCACTACATGCGTGGCACTCCAGGATCGGTAACGACGACCTGCAGTCAATGTGGTTCAACCAGACAAAGCAGTTGCGCCGTTAAGGGACGCGTTGATTCGAATGCTCGAAGCAGATGCATGCTACTGGGGTGATCTCCTGCAACATCGAGCTCGGCTCGTAGGCCGCCTTTCAGGGTCAATGAAAATGCATCTGATTAACTTGCAGCCTTACGGACGCAGTGGTCCTGCCTTCTACTTGCTAATTTACACGCATTTCGTCGAGGCGCGGAACAATCTCGTCAAAGGTCGGACGCTTCTCGGGATCAGCGCTCCAGCACTCTTCCATGAGGTCGAACAAGTCGGCAGGCCACTCGGCCGTGCGGTCAAAGACAGGGCGGTAGTGCTTTTGGACGACGTGTTGCAAGATCTGTGCTTCGGGGGCGTCGACGTTGAAGTACGGCCGTTCCTTGGTCACGACTTCGACAATCACTAAGCAATTCTAGTAAAAACTTCTGAAGAGAGAGAGGGCCAGACGTACGCATGGCGAAGCTGTAGACGTCGACCTTTTCCGTGTAGCTGGTGGCGCCGGTGAGAATCTCGGGCGCGGCGTAGAACGGGATGCCGATGTTGGTCATGGCCTTCTCGCTGTGCGGACGCGAGTACTCCAAGCTGCCCACCTTGACCTCGCCGCTGTGCCTAATAACACCATCAGTCGCGTTCAGCAAAGGGGCCATTGCACGTGAAATGGACGCAGTTGGCTGTGAGCGAGCGGTGGACGATGCCGGCTGCATGCAGTCGGCGCATACCCTTGGCGACTTGCAAGAGGATGTCTATACACGCGCGGGAATCCAGCGCTGCGCCGCTTTCGAGTCTCGACTGTAGCGTGTCCGTGGTCGGCTCGGTGACCACGTAACTACAAAAAACGCTCGAACCGCGCCATGCACGAAATGGGACGTACATCGTTGCGTCTTTGCGTGCAATGCCGTAGTAGAGGAGCACGTTGGGGTCAATTTGAGAGAGCAGACGCCGAATGCGCTCAAGATGCTTGAGCGACGACGGGTTGCATCTCGAGACGCTAGTGGTGTGGATATCCACTTCGATACTCCACGGCTCGTCCTTGCTCTTGTACAGCTTGCCGTGAGAGACAGTGTTGTACGGCCCCGTTAAGGAAGAGCTCAATAGCTCGCCGACCGCCAAGTTGTCGAAGCTAATGGTGCAAACTGCAGCGATCGGGTCGAGAGGCGGCACGGTGTGCGACATTGGTCGAAATGGGAAGTCCGCACCGTTGAACCTCGCTATGTGCATACCTCTAACAATCAATAAACGGTTTTATGTAATATAGCACCAGCAAACCTTATAGAAGGCATCGGGCACTCGTTGAACCAGGAAACCATTCATTGGCGGTCGCATCACGTGCATACTGCCTTCGACTTGGTTCAATTTGGCGCCGCTAGACGTCCAAGGCCGAAGTCGAGGCGATCTGCAACCAAGTACGTCGACGAGGAAGACAAGGTAGACGAGCACTTTGTGGGGGAGGGGACACATGAACACCACTCGACACTGCATACTAGTATGCATCTACATGTCCTTGGTCCAACAGTAACGCACTGTTACCGCTCATGACGAGGAGCAGCCTATGCAATGCACCGAGTCCGTGCAGATACTCGATACATTGATAGCTCGATACTACTGTCGACGCATTCGCTTGTGTTTTTGAAGCGCTTGTGCGGGCAAATGGAAGCCAAGCTGCACTTGATACAAACTTGATAGTGTGCCGTATGAGCTTGAAGTTTCAACGAACGACATGGCCTTTCCACATCCATGTCGTCACGACAAGATCAAAATTATCAAGTGGTCAGCAAGGCTGATTCTTTTCAGGTGCCAGGTGGTTTCGCCTCTTTCTTCGCTCAGCGTTGGCATCGGAACCGGTGCACGGAACGATACCAATGGAGCGATACGATGTGTCAATAACTGCCGGTAGTATTCGTCTGTATTCGTACGGGAGAGCCTATTAATACCAGCAGCATCTCAGCAGTCTCCAGTAGCTCTGCTTATATACTGTACGGGAGGGGAATCGGGTGCACAAGACGTCGCGTGCTATGATTGGGTGCTTTGAGAACGGACGCATGTGATTGGTCAGCCGCAATACCGGTAGTTTGGCAGATGGGTAGTTTGACCCACCCGGTCGGCCGCCCTCTGGGTGACCGGGGGTCCTCATGGTGCGCTTCTCGACAAGTCCTTCGGTGGCGATTCTTTTAATCAAATTCCAGACACTCTTGTCAAATGTCGCGATAAGGTGTATGGAAGTTCTAAACACCTTATCGAGCGAGTTCTAAAATAGACTCGCTCGTAGATCCATGCGTCCAGTCAACAATCATGTGCGAAGCGAAGGAGCCAATCGGAGAACGCGTCACGGATGGGATAGACAGACATGCACAGTATTTACTGTAGTCAACCAGATGGACGCCGATTCGTGCTGCCTCCACGCTCGCCACTTTGCCTTTTCATCGAGCCGTCACCATGGATCCAAATGCCATGGATCACTCGCTCGACGAGATCGTTGCGGCCGCGCCCATCGAGAATAATTTTTTGGTCGTCGGCCAAGTGTCCACGACGGCCGTCACCAACCCTCCGTTTGTGGAAGTCCGGAATGGCGAATACAACGGCGATCACGTCCATGTGTACGTACTCCCGCGGGAACAGTGCGGGGAAGTGCAGCGCAGGACACTTTGGCGCATCGCGCGCTTGGCCCAGGCGAATCACGCGAACGTGGTTCAGGTCATCGGGATCGGGATGGACGCATCGAGCGTGTACGACGCTCCTCGACCAACAGAGCACACGCTGAGATCTTGAATGTGTAGCTTCGTGCTGACGGAATCGACCGATTTCGGCACCGTGCGCCATCATCTGGAGCAGAAGTTGTGGTTCGATACCGGCGCAAGTATCAAGATCCTGCACGACGTAGCGAGCGGTATGCGCTATCTCCATGGACATGAAATTCTCCACCGCGCGCTCACGACCGACACCATCCACCTCTCGTACGTGTCGTCGTCGTTCAAGTCGATTGGGCGCCCACTACTACCCTGTACATAGGAGTGGCAATGTAGCCAAGATCAGCAACCTTGAGTTTGCCCGTCAACGTGCCGCCGCCGCCGCAATGACCAACATTGGGATTCCGTTCTACGCCGCGCCCGAGATTCTCACTGGCGCCACTAACTACACGACCAAGGTCGACGTCTACAGCTTCGCCATGCGTACGTCTGGCCCTCTCTTGAAATGTCGTTTACTATAATTGCTTAGTGATTGTCGAAGTCGTGACCAAGAAAGAGCCGTATGCCAACGTCGACGCCCCCGAAGCAACGATCTTGGAGCACGTCGTCCAAAAGCACTACCGCCCTGTCTTTGACCGCTCGGCCAAGTGGCCTGCCGACTTGTTCGACCTCATGAAAGAGTGCTGGAGCGCTGATCCCGAGAAGCGTCCGACCTTTGACACGATTGTCCCGCGCCTCGAGGCCATCCTCGATGCCGTCCCGCCGTAAACTGCACTCTGCTAAAGTAATGAAGCGTGATTTTGCATTGCATGCATGCTCGCACAGTGCGAAACCAAAATGCCCACGCCCACTGCGTTGTCCAATAGAGCTGGCGAGGGTGGGCAGTGCGACGGCGACACAGAAGATACACAACATTATAAGATATGAGACGCATTCAATCATCAAGACTCCACTCTATTGCAAGCTGCTCCATTCGAATGAGGAGACTCCCGAGTCGATCGACAATGTCGCGAAATGTTGGCCGGTCGGTTGGCACCCGTTGGGCGCACGCGTCGACGAGGTCCAAGACGTCGGTGGGCCACGCACCGACAGCGTCTTTCTTGTAGTTCCCATCACTTACGGTCGTCCGCTGCCTCGTCACCATGTGCACAAGCACTATCAAATTCATCATTGTCCTCGGAATCGAAGGGGTCTGAAGTACCGCGGCCGTAGCAGTAGACGTTGGCGAGCTCGTCGACGAGGTTGTCGTCGACGGCCTGTTCGGGATTGTCGTCGTCGACGAGAAGCCCCAGATCAAACCCGTTCTCGACCAGCGTGTCGTCGGCTTGGCACAAATCAAAGTTGGCCACTTTGGCGCGAAAATCCCCCCTAGGCAAACCAAAAGAGCGTTAACGGCACAAAAAAGTAGGATGGAAACAGCGTTTACGAAATGTGCACGTTGCGGGCCGTGACGTTGCGGTGCACGATCGGCGGCTTCTGCGCGTGCAAGTAGTGCAGACCGCGCGCAATGTCGAGCATCATCGAGAGCCGCGTGGTGACCGAAAGCGGCGTCGCACTCGCCAGAAGTGACGCCAAGTCGCCGCGCTCCAGCCGCTCCGTGACCATGTAGCTAGACACCGTACACATGAAAATGCAACCATCTCTACTGCAAAGCGTACATGGCGGGACCCGCGTCGAGGCTCGCGCCCACGAATTCGAGAACGTTGGGGTGGTCCAATGTCACGAGGAGGCGGACGGCGCAGTTGAAGCACTGGACGACCGCGCTCGACGGGCGCGAGAGCTGCTTGACGAGGACGGGCACGCCGTAGTAGTACCCCCTGTGCACCGATGCCCACGGCGGTAGCGCTGGCTCGGGCGTCAAGAGTGTGAGGTCGCGGAACTGCACAACCGAGCCGAGCTTGAGCCGGAAGAGACTCGGGTCCCGCACTTGTGGCGGCGGCGACCGCAGCGGGTCCAAGGTCGCGCAGTTGCCTTGGCAGTTGCCCATCGATCACAATCAGAAAATGCACTCGGAAGGCGATCCAACGCGGCGGCGCATATCACCGTCCAGCGCGCTCCTCCTCCGATTTGTCGTCCATGTGTTACTCTCGGCGAGAGTAATGGGGTCGAACGGCAACTTGGCTTCTCGCGCGGCGCCTCAAAGCGGGGACGAGATCGGCAGTGTACGTCGGTCGTTGATTTTGTCGCGATCAACGCTACCGACGGCGAAACCGGAGAGACGCAAAACGGCCTGTCGGCGTGCCACGTCATGGCGCCAATTTTTGGTCGTGACCAATGTCATCGCTGCGCCGACCACACACCCGCGCTTCCTCCTCCCCACTCGCACCATTGCGCAAGTGAGAAGCTAACATATTCAACCCGTACTTTCTATATGTAGCTAGACAGACATGTCTCGATGTAAATGCCCAGGTAGAGCCATGAGGTAGAGCCATGAGGTAGAGCACACAGGGACGGGGGTGCTGCAAGGCGATGAAAGGAGCGTACATACTATTTAATAGCTAATCGATCCTTATGTCGTGGCAGGTGCCACGGAAGCCTTCAAGAAAAAAGAGTGACCGACACTCGCAACTTGGCACAATTTGTTGAAGTTGCCACACGCGTGTCTGACGTGGCAGCGTCCATTCTTGTCGGGTCATTTTATTTTATTTGTCTTTCGACTAGCGGACACGATCGCAGCCATCGATCCCTCTCTGCTGGCTTAGTAACCGCAAGCAACCCGAGTGGGGCTCGGCGCCTTATCTTTGGCGCCGGCGCAGCTGCTGGGCTAACCCGTAGGTAAGGGGCTCGGTTTCCTACCCATGCGACCGAGAAAAGCTGTTGATCGTGGTTGGCTGCCGTCTCTCGCGTCCGTCCAAAAGACTCTCGCAGTGCCAGGATGTAGTATTGAGAAATGCACGGATGATCGTCGTTCCGAGGAGACTCGTGCTATGTTGCAAGCCTCCTGGGCATGTACACGACGTCCAGGACGCAGCAGCCTTCTTCCGGCTTCAGCTCGCTTTCGCCAGTGCCCATCCCACGTATTATACTAGTAATACTGTAGCACATCAGTGGTACCACAAGTCCATCCACAAAGGCTCAACGTCGGATCCATATGCGACGTGTGGTGCTGCCACGTCAGATGCACCTCCACGACTAATACCTCGAGCGTCCTCTGGAGCAAGAGATGGTGCCACGGCCACATGCATCGAGGAGTAGCAAGCAGAAGTAGAGGACGACTGCCTCTTGCGTCAACCCCTACTGGGCCCACCCTTCTTCAAGTCGTGATCCGCGACCGGAATGACAGTCGTGGGCTTTGGTGAGAAGCGTCCGAAGCAAGCATCCACCAAGAGCAGGTGGCACTGGTGGAAGCCAGGCAGCAATGTGAATGCAATCTTGGATCTTCTTTAATGGCGTACACAATTATGAAACATGCAGAAAACAATCGACACGGCGGGGATCGATCTCTGTCCTACTCGTCCTTGCGGCGGGGAAACGGCACCGAGCCCATGCACGTGCGTGCGACGTCGTCAAACACGTCGCGGATCTCGCTCGAGCAGTGGAGGTACTCTTGGTCCCAAAACTTGTAGCTTGGGTTCCGGATGAGCTCGATAAACGTGACGAGGAGGCCCCACGGGTGCGGCCGGTTTGCAATTAGTCGCTCGAGGAGCACGCGCGTAATCTGCTCCTTGACGCTCGGCGCCTTGGCGTGCGAAAAGAGGTACAGTAGCACGCAGCTAAAGTAGTGCGTGTGGCTGTTGGGGAACCGGAGGTGGTTGGCCATCGCGCTAAAGTACCAGTACCGACCTTCGACGTCGAGCTCGTCGGCGAGGAAGCGAAACACGTCCATCATGGCCGACTGCTCAAACGAGACGGCCGTCTTCTCGGCCGCCGCCGCCATCTCGGCAATCGCCTCCTTCCCGAGGTACAGCACGACGGCGTTGAGCGCCGGCAGCATGTACTTGGACTCGGCGTCGGCACTCGGCGCCCGCAAGAGCTTGCCAATGAGGTCGTGCGGGAAGACGGCCGCGCGGTTCGAGGTCGCAAAGAGGAACGCGTCGAGGTACTCCTTGAGCTGGTTGTGCGCGAGCGCCGCGCTCCAAGTCGGCATGAGGCGGGGCGACACGTTGACTTCCGGGAGCGTCGCGACTTGGAGGCCGGGCGTGAGCGGGTCTGGGAGGCGCATTGAGCGCGAAAATGCCGACAAGATGACGTTGCGCAGCTGGATGCACGCGGCCGGGAGCACGTCGCAAAAGCTCGTGTAAAACTCGGCCAAAAAGTCGGGGTAGTCGTGCAAGAGGACCAGCACGACGCGGACCGTGCCCTTGTACAACGCGCCGACCGACGCCGGCGGCGGCATGTGGCGAAGAAAGGGCTCCATAAACACGAGCAGGCTCATGAGGAGGCGGTGGAGAATCTGCCACCCGCGCTGCTGCTTGGCGCGGAGCAGCATCGGCATAAAGCAGCGGTGGCTAATGAGCTCCGTCCACGCAAAGCAAAAGCCCGGCACCGACATGGGCTGCAACTGGTTGAACGCGCCCGCAAACGTGTTGAGGACCTGGAGGTGGATCGCGTCGAGCATCGGCTCTTGCATCGTGAGCTCCTTGAGCAAGTTGGCGAAGAACCGAAAGTACACGCGCTGGTCGAAGAGCGCTTTCGTCTTGACGGCCGCGTCGTGGGCCGAGATGACCGACGACACGATCGCATTCACGGCGAGCGAGAGCACCGTGAGCTTCGTCGTCGCGTTCGCGTCGAGGTACTTGACGAGGAACACGATGAGCTGCGTGCACGCGTCCACGACGTTGTACTGGAGCGGGACCTTGGTCGTCGTCGCCGAGGACGTTTGCTGGTACGAGCTCTTGAGGCACACGTCGACGCAAATCTCAATCGCGCCCTTGAAAAACGCGCCCATGCTCTCCTCGTCCTTGAGGAGACCGTGCTGTTTGAGCATGGCCACAAACTGCACGTGCATCTTGCTGTGGTTGTTGCTCGGGTCGTTGACGAGTGCGACCCAGTGCTCCATCGCGTTGCTGACCGTGTGGCGGAACGCCGCCGGGTCCAGCGCCGGCGCCGTGGCTTTCGGCGGTGTCGACGGCGTCGCAGCCACCTTGGGCTTCTTGGCCTCCTCGAGCAGATTCGAGAGAATCAAAATGTTCTTGTTGGTCGCCGCGTGCGCGCCGTGGCGTTCGACAATCCGCTCGAGCGCGTCGAGCGTCTGGGGCAGCTGCTTGGCGAGCGTCACGTGGTCCAGAAAGAGGCACTGGCGCACCACGTAGACGGCAAACTCGATCGCGAGGCCCGTGCGCTCCATGTTGCGCGTCAGGTACGCGTCAAACTCGCTCACGTCGACGACCTTGAGGCGTACGAGCGCAATGATAATCTCGCAGTGGAGCTTGAGCTTGTCGTCGACCGCCATGCTGAGGATCCAGCGGACCACCTCTTTCTTGAGCCCGTCGCAGCTCGCGCTCAGCATGTCGAGGCACGACACGAGAATGTCGAGAAAGAGCTCGTCGCCGCGGCCTTTTCCGAGCTCGTACATGCACTTGACGACGCGGTTGGCAATCTTGAGACACGCCTCTTCCCGGACATTCGCCTTGACGCTCGCACCGAGCGCGCGAATGTCGCGCAGGATCCCAAAGACATCGCTGTCTTGCGGCAGCGAGAGAAGACTCGGGAGCTCGCGCTGGGCCGTGCGCACAATGTGCTGGACAAACACCTCAAACTTCTCCATCGAGACCGCAAAGCGCTCGAGCGCTTGCTGCACCGAGAGGCCGTCCGACGTGGCCGCGTCCGGCCGCGTTGTCGGCGGCGTCAACGACGTCGGGCGAGGAATGCGCGTAAACGCCTCGTACACCATCCACTGGTGCGGCGAAATGCCGTGCGGCGACGGCTGAAACACGGGCGGCAGCGTCGGCGGCGGCGGGACCGAGCCCTCAAAGACCAGAGGCGGACCCGTCGCGTCTTTGGGATTGTACCGGCGCCGGGCCGCGTACGCCGCACCGAGCGCTTCGTCAATGTCGCGCATCGCCTTCTCCGACGACGCCTTCTCAATGAGCATGCACCCGAGGTCCGTGTTCTCGGTCGAGCACACGTTGACGACGTGGTCGACCTGGTGCGGGTCGCTCGTCGGCAGGAGCGATCGCAGATGCGACGCAATCGAGTTGCGCAACGGGTCCTTCGCCGTGATGAGCGCGAGCGACCCAGCGAGCGACGACACCATCACGTGCGCGGCCTTGCGCATCTTGGCCTCGTCGACCTCGGTCGCAAAGTCCTTGAGGATGACTTCGCGCGTCGTAATGCACGCAATCGTGACGCTGCGCTCGACCACCGGCGTGATGACCTCGCGGATCGCGCGGTCGACGGCCAGCGGCACGAGCCGGCGCAGGTTGACGTGGTGCAGCGGCAGATCCGGGTTCACGGCCACGTACGACGCGAGATTCGGAATCACCGTCGCCTCCGAGACGGTCGCCGACCCATTGTTGGCCGGCGGGTACGCTTCCTTCGTCTTGAGCACGGGCTTGATCGGCGTCAACGGCTTGGTGGACGACGACTTGGGCGTCACGGCGTGCAGCGGCGACGTGCGCCCCGTCGGCGTCGACGCCGTGACTTTGGCCACCTTGATGTTAAAGTCGGGGTTGCACGTGCGCGGTGGCGCCCCGCGCGTGTGCAGCAAGTTGGCCTTGAGCTGGTCCTCAACGCTCAACTTGAACGACTTGAAGAGGACCTCAATCTCAAATTTGAGGTTGAGTTTCAGGTCCGGCACGTCATAGAGCTCGCTCATCGCGTGGATGAGGCCCATGATCCACGGGTTCGGCGGCTTGAAGATCTTGCTCTTCTTGCAGCCTTCGAGCACTTTCGCGACGAGTGGCGTCACCGCAATGAGGTGCCCCGTCTCGTAGCCGACGTAGAGGAGCTCCTTCAGATCCACGTCACGCTGCAAGAGCGGCTTGTTGCGGCCGAGCGTCATGAGGCCCATCCACGACCCGAGGTTCTTGAGCAGCGTGCGCTGCTGCGAGTTGGTCGTGATCGTACCAGACGTCAAGAGTGTGCGCACTTGCTGGAGGCACGTCTTGAAGATCGCGGCTTCGAGCGCCGGCGCGTGCACCTTCTCCATGAAAATGAGGTACACGGCGTGGTAATTCGGCTGCGTTGCAATGCGCTTCGAGACGAGGTACTGCGCAAACCACGTATAGTACTCGGGCGAGAGCAGGTGGCGGACTTCCGGCAGCTTGGCCTCGAGCGTCGAGATGCTCATGTTGTTGACGATAAAGTGCAGCCGGTCCACAATGCCTTGTTCGGGCTCCGTGACAGGCGCCGTGCTCTCGTCCAGAAGGCTGTCGTCGCCAAAGATGTGACCCACGTCCATGATGGCCGGCGACGACGCGGTCGGCGGCGGCATCGCAATCATCTTGGGGCTGCTCGGCGCGACCGGCGGAATCGACACGCTGGGCGGCGGCACGCTTTGTGGCGCCGGCGTCACATCGTCGACGACGAGCGCTTCGGCGCCCAGCGTCCGCGTCACGGCGTTCACTTGGCGCATAATCTCGGGCAAGGCGTGCTGGAGGTGCGCAATCTGGCTCAAGTTCGCGCAGTAGGCCGGGAGTTCGCGGAGCCGGGGCACAAATTGCTGCAGCGCGCAGGCGCCGAAAAAGAAAAACTTGGACGTCGTGGGCTCGCGGAGCGACTCAAGCACGAGGCGCAGCGCCGTCTGCAGAAACGTCGAGGGCAGCACTTGGTGCTCAATGAGCTTCCCAAAGAGCACGCCCGTGATGCGCAGCTCCGTCTCGGGGTACCGCGGAAAGAATCGGTACTCGTCAAAGAGGTTGTGCACCATGCACACAAAGATCTGGCGCTCCGTCTCGTCTTTCGACGCCTGGAACCGCTTGAGCATCGCAACCACGTCGTTGATGTTTTGCTCCGACGTGTAGATTTGCTGAAAGTACGCGTTCGCTTGCTCCTCAATCATCTCGACCGTGACGCCACCGGGCGCCGGCGCGACCACGACCACCGGCTCGGCCTCCTTGAGGATCGCATGCGCCTTGGCACAGAGCGCGACCACGTTCTTGACCTCCATACCCAGCGCGGGCGGCAGCGGGAGCGACACGAGCGCCTTGAGCGTCACTGCAAGCGACTCGACCGTCAGCGCGCCGCTCGTCGCCGGCGTCAGCTGCACTTTCGGCAGCGCGCGGGCATACTGTCTATGCACAAAGGCCACGACCGAGGTCGCAAACGGCACATTGACTGTCGCGTTGGCGCCGAGGCGCTCGAGGAGCCACTGGTCGAGCGTCAGCACGTCGTGGTTGGCGGCCATGACCGCAAGTGCAAGCGCAAACGAGTAAAAGTTGCTCCCGAGCATGCTCGCAAAGGCATCGCCCGTGTTGCGGAGCAGCGAGAAGAGCCGGCCGAGGAGGTGCGGCGCGCCGAGCCAGCACTTGACGCACGCGTAGAGCACGAGCTTGGGGTCGACCGTGTAGAGGTACCGCACAATGAGCGCCGCGTTCGGCCGACCGGCCACGTACAAGTAAAAGAGGTCGCAGAAAAGCTCTTCGCGGAGGCCGTTCCAGCGCGACGTCGCATGCGCTAAGTTGGCAATGAGGACGTCGGGACAGGCCGTCTTCGCCGCATCGAGGAGCGATTTCACGTCGCTGTAGCCGTCGCCTTGGCCGAGAAGGAGCAGCGTTTCGACCACGTCGAGCGAGAACCACGCGCCATTCTTCGGCGCGCCGGTTGCGTCCGCGCCTTCAAACGGCGAGAGCTTGTTGGGCGAGTCGGCAAAGTTGACCACCTCGGGCGGCGCGCCAATGGCCGCGGCCAGCAGCTGCAAATGCACGCGCTTGTGCTTCCACGGCTTGAGCAGCGGGAGCACGCGAAACTTGGTGCGCGAAATGAGCTGGTAGCAACTCAAGAGCACGCGGAAGCGCACCGGGTCCGAGACGTCGAGGTCGTCGCGGTCGAGCTTCTCTTGGACTTTCGGCCACTTGATCGACGGAAAGTCCTTCGCAAACACGTCGGCAATCACATCAATGTTCCACGTCTCGAGCGGCGGGTCCATGACCGCCGAGTCCCCGTCCTCGAACGACGGCAAGGTCGAGATGAGCACCGCGCCGTCGGACGGCAAGCCCTTGAAGGTGCGCGTGAGCATCGAGAGCATGCCGGCGACGTGGCCCGGCGGGATCGACGGCGAGTTTTCCAAGCCCGCCTCGGCGAGGAGGCCGCGAAAGGCCTTGGGCGTCGCCGTGCAGCTGTAGCCCACGTCCTCCATGAGATCGTAAAAGGACCCGGCGCCGAGGACGTCGTCGAGAAGCGCGTCCGAGACAGCGCTGGCGTCGAGGCAGTCGACAAGGTCGACGTTGCCGAGCGTGAGCGGCTTGAGCTCGAGGCTCGACATCTCACTCGGATGCACGGCCGCGATGCTCGCAAGGAACGAGTCAGTCTGCGCGAGGTCCATCTGGAACGCGTCGTCCGTGCGGAGGAGGTACACGAGGCCGTGGAGCACGTCGGCGGGCAGCTTGGCGCCGGCCATCGCGAGCTCCGGGAGCTTGGTCTTGAGGAACGAGATGGCCTCCATCGCGAGGCTGCGCGCTTCGACGTTGGCAAACGCAAGGCCAATCGTAATCTGCTGCGGCAAGCTGAGCTTGACGACCTTGCAGAAATGCAAGAGGAACTCTTCGTTCACGACGCTGCCTTGGCCGTCGCCTTGGATCGCATGCACGAGGTACGTCGTAAAGTTGGGCTTGGTCGAGGCTTGGCCAATCTCATGCGTGAGCAGCTGCACCTTGAGCGAGTCCTTGTGGCTCTTCGTATCGCGAAAGTCAATCTCGCGCACGAGGCAGCCGAGGAGGTACACGCGCGCGTCCTCGCCGTAGAGCCCGACCAGCTACCCATGTATATGAGCCGATGCGCATGTAGATGCGTCGTCGTCGTCTACCTGGTTGAGCTCGGCCACATGCGTCTTGAAGTTCTTCTTACTTAGGCTCGTAATGAGGTAGTGGATCTGCCAGAAGAGCGGCGAAGCGAAGGCGACCATCGCTGCCGGTTGACGTCAGACTCTCTTGTGCCACACAAAGAAGCTCCGAGGGGCCGAATCCGGATACGCAACGACTCGTTTCCGGACAGGAGAAGGTCTATGCGCACGCAACTTTAGTCGCACTTTAGTCGCAGCGGCACACGAACGCGACGCTACTCCATAAAGGTAGTTCGAGACAGCATTGAAGCACGAGCTCTCCTCGCGCAGCGATCGGCCGTGCGGGGATGTGCGGTGTTGAAGAGGACGGAAAAGATACTCGCGCTCGTCTAATAACACGCCTCGCTAGCTCGTCCCCACGTATTAATAGCCCCGGCGCCATGTGGCCGTGCTATGCGTCAATCGACGTCACACAAATGGTTGCATTCTTGCAGGTGCTGGTAGGCGCCCGAGCGATGGCCGTTCCGCCAAGGCCACCCGCCGGCGTCGAGCAGTCCAAATCGAGGCCAACGGCGCGTGCAAGGATAAAAACACGCATCTTTAGCTGCTCCAGCTCGCAACGCTGCCACCGGCAACACCGTACCAAACGACTCGTCGTCGGCGAGTCGACGATTTGACGAGCGAGCAAGCGCCGGCGACAAGACGTCGCAGCGAACGAGAGAACCAAGGATATATGGTGGGATGGGTTAAAGAGCCTGCAAGTATCCCATGATGTCGCCGTCGGTGAGCAAGGGTATTGAATTTATGTACCCTTGCGGTGAGGTACTCGCCAAAGCCCACGCAGTTGCATGCATGAGCCGTTCATTTACGCCGTTCGGCTCGTATATTGTCTCGTCAGGCCTGGCACATCGGACGCCCCAAGTAATAGTGAGTACGTGAGTACGCCCTATCCCCGTCGTATGCATACCGTTCGTTCCGCTTCCACAGCAATCCTCAATGAAGCACGTGTACCCGGGTGCCCTTCTCGGACCGTCGTCACGTCCCGGTGCGTAGGAGGCTGGCTATCCGCTCTCGGTGGCTGGACTCCTGAAGCTAGTATACCGGTCTTGAATGTGATGCTACTATTCGCATAGCATCTACTATATAATATAGCAAGGTCGTTCTCGTGCGGGCACTCCCTTGGCGCACCTGCGACGCTGCTTGAACCTGCGGCTCGCTCGTCATTGATGCCACACGCGCGTTGTGTCGCTGCGTTTCATTGGTGCAACAATGTCGCGGATTTTATCCAATGGCCTTTTTGCACGTTGGCAATAAAATGACAGCCACTTCCTATGTGCAGGTGACGTATTTTAATACGAAGGCGCGATGTGAGTAACGAGGCCGTTTTCATGCTGGAGAAGAAGACATCGTGCAAAGCCCCTCGCCGCAGCATGCCACCGATGGACCCGACCGTGGCCGCGAGCCTCCAGGCGCTCGGCGCCGAGTTCGCCATCCGCGGCGACGAGCTCCTCAAGCTCAGCCCAGTTGTCGCGACCATGGCCAAGAAGGGCAAGAGCTTCAAGTCGGGCTGGGTCGAGTACTACGTGTGCCTCCACAACAACCTGCTGTATTACTACCGCGAGATGCGCGAGCTGCCAAGTGGCGTCTTGAGCCTCGACGGCTGCAGCGTCGAGTCGGTCGACATCATCTACAAGAACAAGAGCGCGAACGAGTCGCATATCCTCGCCGAGGAGTGCGGTCCGTGCTTCAAGGTCACGAGCCGCCTCCAGCGGTCGCTGCTCTTCCGCGCCCGCTCCAACGACGTGAGGATAGACTGGATCCGGCGCCTGCAGCAAGCCTCGTACGACCATGTGCGTGCGAGCCTCGAGCAGGCCCGCTGCCAGGTCCGCGACCTCCTCCAGCAAGTCCACGACAACGAACTTCAAATTGCGGCCCAGCGCAAGCAACTCGAGATGCTACAGCAAACCGCTGTGGCGGTCGAGATGTTTGCCGACCCGGAGCCGCCGCTCTTCCCGACCATGCACCGGCTCCGCGCCGCGCCGTCGACGTCGGATGGTATCGACACGGCAGCACTGACCAAAGCCACGTCCGAGCTCGCCGAGCTCACGCGCAACTTGCAACAGTCGCTCTCGATGAAGATGCATACGACCCACGAGACAGGTACCATTGCCTCCTTGTCCCAAGCCGTTTCGAAGGCGTGCACCTAGGCGCCAGCGACGACATGGTTCAAAAGAAGAACCCGCGCAGCGTCTTGAACGCGCTCGAGAAAGTCATGGCCGACATGCTCGAGGTGAGCGACGACGACATCCGCCGGCACAAGTCGCGCCCGACGCTTGAGAGCCTCCGGTCGACCCAAGCGGTGCCGACGCCCATCATGCTGCTGGAGCACTCGCCGTCGTCGTTCCAATCGCGCTACGGCACCAAGCCAGGTATGTATTTGGTATCCACTTGATGCTGTTGCAATCGATATATCGATATATACATATAGAGCCCGACCATACCGAAGACTCGGGCTGGTCGACGCCCAAGCCCACGGGCGGCATGCGCGACTACCGTCTCTCCGAGGTACGACAGATTGCACTTTCAAGTGCAAAATCAAACGTGCAAACTCAAAAAACATGGATGTTCTTTCTAGGACGACGAGATGCGGCTCTCCAAGACGAGCATGCTCTCGAGCTTCCACAAGGCCGGCGACGAGCTCACGTCGCTGCTCGTCCGCCCCGATATGATTGTCGTCACGAGCCTTCTCACGACGTGCCAGCGCAGTGACAAGGTCCGTGGCGATGCTTGCGTTTTGAAACTCAAAACACACTCCATTGTAGATGGCGCTCTTGCTGCCGCTCTTGCGTGTCTACGGTAGCCGCCACGCACTCTACAAGCTCATGCAGTGGTCCATCGACACGGAGGTACTCGACTCGCTTGCCGAGATTTGTGGCCTATTTTTGCATATTTTTTGAATTTAGGTGCACTCGGCGCTGTCGCTGCAAACGCTGTTTCGATCCGACGACTACTCGAGTCGGCTCCTCTCCATGTACTCCAAGTCGGTGGGTCTGCGCTTCATCCATACCGCGCTCTCGGAACACATCCGTGCGCTCTGCACCGACAAGCACATTGAGGACTATGAGCTCAACATCGCCAAGGACCCGGTACAGACGACGCCCCATCCATGGATCACATCGAGCCACACCCAAATAGAGCCTCGCAGACCCGCTCAAACTCCAGATCAATGCGCAGAATCTCATGGACGCGTGCCAGACCATCGTCGATGCGATCTACAATCACATGGACCAGCTCCCGCTCTCGTTTGCGCACGTGTGCCGGTACCTCAAAGAGAAGCTCATCGAGCGCTTCCTCGACAAGAACGAAGCCGAGAACGACGGCAACAGCTCCGCCGTCAAGGTACATTAGCCCTGTAAAGACGTGTGTCTTTCGGTATTCAGATCGCTTTTTTGTAGGCCATCATGGGCGGCTTCCTCTTTCTGCGGTTCATTTGTCCCGCGATTACGACGCCCCATGCGTACGGCCTCGTGCCCGAGGTCCCGAACGCCAACAGCCGCCGCATTCTCGTGCTCGTCACGAAGCTCCTCTTCAACTCGTCGACCGAAGTCGAGTTTGGCGTCAAGGAGCCCTACATGAGGTCGGTTGCGTTTTTTGCGTTTTTTGCGTTTTTTCCAACAATGTCATGGGGGATTAGGGTTGTCAACTCGTTTATCGTGAAGAACGCACCGCGCATGGCGTTTTTGTACACGCGCCTCACGACGGCGCGCGAAGGCGACGTCGAAGCGTGCTTTGACGCTGACAGCGACGGCATCTTTACCAACATCAACCCGGACCAGCTCGGCCAAGACCGACAAGATGTAGCGTTGATTTTTTTGATTTTTTTGTTTTTTCTTTTTTGGCTCATGGTGTGTATAGATCACGCTCACACTGCGCAAGCACGTGGACGAAGTCGTCGCCAAGGTCGCACTGTCGTCCGAGCCGTTGGCGGCCAAGCTGCGGACGCTCATGGAGCCGTCGGACGACGACGACGACCTCGACGTCATTGGCAGCATCGCCCACGAAGCCGACGACGACGAAGACGAAATCGTGCCGTCCAACTCGATCTTGAAGGACCCGAGCGACCGGTCGAGCCGCTCGATGATGTCGTTCTTCCGCCGCGGCTTTGCCAACCACCGCGACTAATCGTATTTTAAAACCCCCTCAACCAATTTTCTCTTGCTCCGTTGTGTCCTCGTTCAACGTTCTTGCGGCACCACGAGTACAGTGTACTACGTGGTAGAAGCAATCGATGGCACACGCAAGGTGTTTGATTCTCTTGGCACACGTCGCGTAAGATCTGGGATGTTCCGACAGCTTCCTTCACACAACTTTAGGGTCCTCCAAAATGGAAAAGGCCATGAAGGGGCCTTTACGTTATCGAAAGAAGAATCCCCAAGACTCGACGCCCGGTCCCAGGAAGTGGCGTCACGAGACCGCGCGGTAGCGTAGCAGTAGATGTCGCGTCAGTTGCCGTTTGGCTTCCAACCTCTTAAGCCCACCTCTCGACCACCCGACGAGGTGAATGCACTTTCCCTGAAGCAAGTTGAAAGCGTCGTCGCCGCCGTCTCGTTGAGGACGTGCGCCCGACGCCCCGTAGTGTCCTCCATGTCTTTGTATCGCCAAGCAACGCCATCAAGTCGACGCATACCATTGGTTGTAAAATGTATGTACACTTGATAGATTGATACACAGTCTAGGTCGACGGGCCCGACGGCGGCGGCTTGGGGAGCGCGCCCATGGGCGGCTTGCCGCGCAGCATCGCGCCCATCGTGTCGCTCGAGTTGGCGCGGCGCACGCGGTGGAACGGGACGTCCACTTCGGTGCTTTTGGGCGCTTCGTCGACCATGCTCGTGAGCTTCCAGCTCGCGTCCTTGAGCTCCGAGAGGTCCGTGTCGCTCACGTGCGCGCGCCCGAGGCTCCCCTTGATCTCGTCGCTGTCGCTGCCGTTGGTGAGCGCCGCGATGACGCGCTGCTGCTCGAGGATGATCTTCTTCATGTGCACAAACGTCAAGTCGTCTTCTTGGTCGTGGAGCTGCGAGTTGGCGCGTAAAATATCTTCAATGACAACGCCGCGGCTCAGCGCGTTGTTGTAGAGGAGCCACGTTTGGATCTTTCCGGGCACGTAGATGGCCGAGAGGAAGGTAATGACGCCGAGGCAGACACCGCCGAGGATCACATCATGGGCAAAGTAGAGTGTGATCGCGAGCTTATTGTCCGAGCCCGAAAAGAGCAGTGTCCACGAACCGACGGCGGCCGCGAGGTAGTAGACAGCGACCGCGCACGCGACCATGCCGTCGACCGACGTCGTCGCGTACAGGACCGCGGCCACGTTGACGAGGACGACGACGAGCTTGAGGAAGCGGATGCCGCCCGACTCGGCGAACGGCGCGTCCAGAAACGCCGAAAACACCATCAGGTTCAGCCCGACGAGGCCGAGGAGCACGGTGAGCGGCAGCCACGACGCTTCGGCCGCGAACGAATGGTACGCGTCGTCGGCCGTGAGGAGTGCGAGCCCGACGACGAGATACACGAGCGACTTGGCAAAGACGCACGCCTTGGCCCACGGCCGGAGGTGCAGAAAGTACATGTTTTCATCCTTGAACCACGCGAGCCAGCTCTGGTTGCCGTGGCCGCCCTCGCCGCGGAGCCAGCGCACCCACACCCGCGCGTCTTCGAGCACGTCCGACCACTCGAACGCGAGCGGGTTGAACCAGAACGGCGAGCACGTCCACGAAAACACGACGAGCCAGAGCGACCACGTGAGCGCAACGTACTGCGTCGTGGCCGTGTACGCATAGTACAAGCTCAGCGCGGCCGCAATCTCCGTGCCTGCGTACAGATGCGAGCTCGCGTAGAAGCGAAAGAGGTCGTCAAAGTGCGAGTGCTTGGTCACAAACCCGCGGCCCGTCGCGCGGTACTTGGCGCCGCCCGCCAGCAGCGTCTGGCCATAGTAAAACCACTTGGTGCCAATGTGGAAGAGAAAATAGAGCGGCCCGCCCGTGACGACGACCATCGCGACTTCGGTGAGCGCGGCCTTGAACCCGCGCTCGACGCTGATCGTCGCCAGCATCGGCGCAGTCGTGAGGAACGCGACGAGACCGAGCATGACCTGGAGCTGCGAGAGGATGACGGCTTCGCGGCCGCCGATGCCTTCGAGGCCGAGGAGCGACCGGAGCAGTTGAATGTACGTGAGCACAAAGACGGTCCAGATGATGAACGACATCGAGAGGTAAAACCCGACGTGGTTGTAGTAGAACGAGAGCAATTTGAAAAAGTCGAGTCGGTGCGCGAGCCGGTACACGTCGCGGGAGAGTGACTGCTCGGCCGCGCCTTGCGCGAGCTTGGCTTCAAACTTGTAGATCTGCTGCATGCCGACATCGCGGCCTTTCCCGCACTTGATGTACTCTGGGAACGCGACGGTGCCACCGCGGAGACAGTTGTTGTAGCCGGCAAAGATATCTTCCGACAAGTTGATGCCGCGGCTGGCCTTGGAGATACCACCGCGCGTCATAAAGAAGAGCTTGTTGAAGATGTCGGGATGGCCATAGTGCATGCGCACTCGGAGCGGCCGCGTGAGGGTGCGCTGGCCGAGCGTGACGAACGACGTCTCCTGGAGCGCCATGTAGTTGGCGAGCGAGCTAATGCTGCCCGTAAAGATGTGCTCGGGCAGGCCCACGATCGTGACGGGGCGCGGACCATTCGTAAACGTCTGCAACACGTTGCGCATCTTGAGCGCCTCTTCGACGTACCCGTCTTGGTTCATGTCGATCGTCTGGACATGCTCGCCGCGCGTAAAGATGATCGCGTGGTTCTGGTTCTCGGGCTTGCCTTCGCCAATGATCGGGTTGCCCGGCAAGCGAATGCGGTAGCACTCGATCGTCTCGTGCAGTGTCTCGGTGCCCTTGACGAGCACCGAAAAGTACGAGAGGTCCTTCTGGTAGTTGACGCGGACTTCGTCAATGTACGCCACGCGCAGATTCGGGAACCGGTGCAGCAAGTACTCGATGTCCTTGGCCTTCGGGTCGTTGTTGCGCTTCTGGCGACCGTACACTTGGCACGCAACCACGTACGTAAACTTGGTCTTGACAATGTCCTCGATCGCCGCCAACGGCACTTGCTCAAGGTCGCCGAGGAGCCGGATTGCAGCCTCGCCGTACATCATGCCCTGGACCGTCCGCGCCAACGTCTGGCCGCGCAGCGACGCCCACAGCCGGAGCTCCTGCGCCGTGTGCGCGTCCTTCCATAGATTCTTCTTGGGCTGCACGCGCTCGAGAAAGTTCTCCCAATCGTGCTTGTAGAGCGTCTGGAGGTACAAGAGCGTGTGCACGTCGAGACCGTCGCGCTTCGACTCGAGGTCGGCCTTGGAGTAGAGCACGTCTTCGGCGTAAAACGGCGTCATGACAGAGTACGACTGCATCTCGTCGATCGGCGGCGCCGACGGCATGTCCATAAAGAGCGAGTTGACAAAAAAGAGGAGCCGGCGCCGCGCGTCAAACGACCTCGGCTCGGCTTCGGCCTTTTGGAGCGTGAGGAGCCCGCGCAGGTGCGCGACCGCTGTAAGCGCGTGCGGATCAAACACCAAGAGCGTCAGCTGCTCGCTGCTGTACTCGTCGTCCCACATGAAGCCCCGTTCTTGCGTGAGCACCCACGTGAGGCGGTCGCTCATGGCTTTCGACTCGGGCACGAGCACGTCGGCTTCGTCGACGACCGCGAGCATCGCCTTGATCGTGTTGAGGAACGTCCGGACCTTCTCGCGCAGTTGGAGCAAGTGCACTTGGGGAATCGGCGTCACGAGCGACTTGGTGGACGGTGCGGCCGACGGGATTTGCTGCAGCGCCGCAATGCGGGCGACGCCCGAGCCGCGCGACCGCCGGGGCACGTCTGCGGACGAGCCCATCGACGCGAGCCCGGTCGTCGACGCCGACTTGTGCATGACCGTCGACTTGGTCGCGGCGCCGTGTTGGAACTGTGCGTACTCGCTCGGCGGCTTGCGCAACGGAATGTTCTTGGCCGACGCCTTCCAGTGCGGCATCTGCGCCTGCAGCAACCCGAGCACGTCGGCGAGCGCCGTCGCGGCGGACCCGAGCTTTTGCCACTGCACGCCGTGGTACAGGCCGCGGTCGATCCATCCGGCAAAGGCCGCGCAGATGAAGCGCACATCGTTCGAGTGGCACGGCCCGAGCACGTTGTTGAGCACCCAGTTCGTGAGCTCCCACACTTCGCCAATCGCTTCCTCGACCATCGGCGCGTCTTCGAGCAAGTCGGCAATGCTCGCGCTCGTGAGCACATCGGTTTGCGTCCCGACGTGCAGCGTAAACTGCTCGAAACAGCCCGCGAGCTGGAAGAGCGGCAAGTACACGCTGCGCTCAAAGTTCGGGATGCGCTGGAACTTGAGGCGCGCGAGCTCGGCGTTGTTCAGAAAGTCGTCGGCACGGAGCGAGTCGACGATCGTGTCCCACGCGGTCGCAAACGACGTCCACTTGCGATGGCGCTCGAGGTGCTTCTCGGCGCGCGACGGCGTCCGGCGCGTAAAACTCAGAAGCGGCGTCGACGACGACTTGGTCCGCGCGCCGGGCACGAGCCCCTCGTCGAGCGACAAGACTTCTTGGTGCAGCGTGCCATAGCCCGACAACGGCGTCTGGCTGTGCGCGGCGAGCTCGCCGCCCGTCTTGCTCTCTTTCGAGACGAGCTTCAAATTAAACGCGTCGGCGGCCCGGAAGAACGCGTGGCGCGCGCGGTCAAACGTGCGCACTTCGCCAATCTTAAGCGAAAAGCCGACGAACGTGCCAACGAACGCGACCCAGATCGAGTTCCAGATCGTCATGTCGATGCAGAAAATCATAAAAAACGGCAGCCACTGGAGCAGCATGAGCCCGGACGTCAAGAGCAAGCTCACGTCGTTCTCGGTGTGGTCGGCAAAGAGCAGCAAGGTCGGCGTCACCAGCGGCACGATCTCAAACTTGTACGAAAACAGGAGCTTCCAGCCAATGAGCGAGACCCAAAAGCACTGGTACTGCACCGAGTCGCTCGCCGTGTCGAGGACGTTGTCGCCGACGTAGAGCTTGTTGAGCGGCGAGAGCGTGTCCCGAAGCACGACCAGCAGCGGCCACGTGCTCTGGCGCAGCCACGTGGTCGTTCCCGGCGCGACTTGCAGCAGCGCATTCAGCACCGTCGGGATGTGCACAACGCCCGTGACCATGTAAAAGATGCGCCAATACGTCGGCGTGTTCCACGCATACCAGTACAAAAGCCCGCAGAGCGTCGCGGCCGCGAGCCGCAGCACGAGCCGCACCACGAGGCGCAGCACATGCAGCAGTGGCACGCTCGGGTGGTACATGACGGCCACGTCGAGGCTGGCCCAAAAGACCCCGAGAAAGATCGGCGACAAGAGCACGCTCGCGACCACATGCAGCGTCATCGACGCGCGCATCGACGCGTGCTGCGTGAACGCGATCGCGACGAGCAGATGGAACGACACAATGTGAAACTCAAACACGCGCTTGAACGCGCGGATCGCCGTGAGCCAGTGCCGCTTCTCGTAGTACGTCTTGGTCGCGCTGCTCCATGCCGTCGCGATTGGCGGGCCCGCAAAGCTGTCGCTATTGTGGTACTCGGGGCTCTTGTAGTCGTACTGGAGGCACGCCGGCGTCCAAAAGAATTCGTTAAAGTCGTCGTAGTTGCGCCGGTCGTCGTGGTCGCGCTGGTTGGCGACCATCTCGGTCTTGAGCAGCGTGTAGATGGGCGTAATGACCGCGTCCAGAAAGTAGCCCGGGTCCCGGTACCCGCGCGCCGTCGCATACTCGGTCTTCATCTGGTGGAAGAGAAAGCTCAGAAACTCGGGCGCGTGCCGGCAGTTGCTCGCTTCGCCCCAAATGAAGAAGAAGAGACAGAGGTCCGTCACCATGTCTTCGACGCTGGTACCGCCGACCGCCGGCGGCACGTGCAGCTTGCGACACCACTGGTGGTAGTTTTCAAACACCGACTTGTGCAACACCAAGTACGGGTTCTGGCTGCCCCGCGACACGTTCGTGAGCAGCACGAGCAAATGCTCCATCTGGTTGTGCGCGTTGGCCGGCTGGAACCCAAACGTGCGCGCGACGTGCGTTGCAATCTTGCCGAGCGGCGCGAACGGCTGCATCTTGGGCGGCAGCGCGTGCAGCGCGAAGAGGTTCGGCGCCGAAGATCCCTCCGGCTTCCACGCGCGCGCGTCCGTGCTCGCAAACGGCACCTTGCTCGCCGCATCCTGTCCAGGTACTAATGCCGTCGGGTGCTGGAGCCACACGAGCAGCTGCAGCAGCAGCATCGACATGGTCAAGAGGCCCCACGTCGCGTAGAGCTCCCAGCAGTAGACCGTGCACAGCGGCTGCGGCGGCGCGCCCGAGAGAAGCGTGCCAAACGCGTACCAGAGCCCGAGCGCAAAGTCGCCGTGGCTCACAAACCGCGAGACGCCGAGGACGATAGCGACGCCGCCAAGCACCGACGTCGCGACCATCTCGAGCAAGAGCGTCGACGCGAGGAAGAGCGGCGCGGTCAAACTCAGCGAGAAGAGGCAGCCCGACACGATCTGCAGCGCCAGCGTCGACGAGAGCTCGACGGCGGCAAAGACGGCGACGACGGCGACCAGCACGGCGCTGCCCGCGAGCGCCGAGACGCGCAAGAGGCTCGAGAGACCGCCAAAGACCGCGCCGCAGAGGAGCGCGAGCGTGATCGGCACAAACGGCAGCGACGGCAAGCCGACGTTGAAGAGCGTGTAAAAAAGGCATGCGCTCAGCGTCGACGTGGCCAGCGGCGCCGCGAGCCAGCTCGCGACATGCCCCATGACGCCAATGTACACGCCGAGAAGACTGAGAAGACCGGCGCCCGCGTGCAGCGCATACGTCGACGCTGGCAGCGACGTGTACCACGGCAGGCCAAACTCGACCGGGTGCGCGGCGATCCAGTCGCGCGTCGGGTAGGCCGGCGGGTTGCAGCCGAGCGACGTGTACTCGTTGCGCGGGCCTTGGTAGACGCGCACATAGTCGATCGTAAAGTTGGAGGGCCAGAGCGAGTCGCAGAGCTGGCCGTCGCAGGGCGGCGAGAACTTCTCCGAGACAGCTGTCGAGATAATGAGGTAGCTCGGCTCGACGGGAATCATGCGCGGCGGGATGCCGTCGGCCCACTTGTTGAGCGCAGCGCCCGCGATCTCAAAGAGAAAGTTGTTGTCGACCCACCACCGAATGTAGCCGTCGTAGCCCGGCATCCACTCGAGCCGGTACGTGTGGTACTTGAGGAAGGCGTCGGTTTGGAGCTGCGTGAGCGCCGAGATCGAGTCGCGGCCACGCTCGCCGTAGTAGTCGCTGTTGATCTTGGTGTAGTTGCCAAACGTAAGGTTCGAGTACCATTGGTTTGGGCCCGGCAGGTTGCCCGAGTCGGGGCGCATCGCGTCGGTCAAGCCCGGGCTGAGCTGCAGCGACGTCGACATGAACGCCGGGTCGTCCTTCTTCTTGATCTGGATCTCAAACACATCGATCTCGGTCGCGCCGCGGCCTTGGCGCGGGTGGAGGCCATACTTTTCGGGCAGCGAGCTCGGGTCGTCCGGGTCCGTGAGGTTGTTGCACGCGTTGATCTTTTGCGGAATGTCAATCATGTCGTCCATGGGCACGCAGTAGTCGAGCGTCCAGGGCCACATGCCTTCTTGGGACCCGAGATATGTGGCGCGGCCGAGGTTGCCCATGATCCAGAAGGCGGGCCACGTGCCCGGGATGCCCCACTTGCCAGGAAGAATCGCCTTCATCTCGACGTACCCGCCCGTAAAGCAAAACTTGTTCCAGGTCTGGACGCTCCCGCTCACATAGTGCGCGTCGTGGAAGGGCGTTTTCGGCTTGGACGTCGTAATGATCAAGTTGCCGCCGTCGGTCTGGACGGCCTTGGGCGAAAAGTAGTGCTGGCCCATGTTGGTCGTGTCAATGTGCTCGAGCGCAGTCCACTTGTGGTCAAAGCCCGACTCGAACGGCCGGCTATCCGTGTTGAACTCGTCCGAGAACACGAGCCGGTACTCGTTGGTCGTCGGCGACTCGAAGAAATTGACGCCGGCCGCAGGCACGCGGATGACCTTGGCAGCGTCCGGCGTCTCGGGATCGATCCACGAACCCTCGTCGTTCGCGGCGACGGCCAGGCCAAGGCCCAGCGCAGCCACGGACGCGGCGACGACGACGACCATGAAAATGCGCAAATACCCTCATGCGCTGGCTGCGGCCGCGCCGGATACGCTGCCACCCTCCGTATCCGGACATGCCGCACTGGAATTACGAGAGGTGATGGGGCGTGTCCCAGCCGCGTGAGTGGCCGTGCATAGAAACTCCAAGTCAAACATGTAATACCCCGCGAGCACCGGAAAAACTCCGGGCGACGTTGAAGCCATGGCCACGCTCGCCCACTGATCCGAACGCCGCCTTCTTGGCGTCTGATCCAAGATCTCGCTCGCGGCTTCAACATCGTCCTACGCTCGAGAAAGGCCCGACGGCCGCGCCACACGGTCGTGGCCCGATGGCCCATCGCCTGCGGCGCTAGATTCGATGCACGACCACCGGTACATGGATCCGGGCGATGATTCGGACGACGTCGGAGGACCAGTCGCGTGGGCCGTGCACAACAAGGTGGGTGGCACCGTGCGTCGCTCGCTGTCTCTTGCGCTCATGACGTTGAAGCGCGCGCCTGAATCTCTGGTCCGGATAAAGGGCGCCCCGGCTGCATCCGGATACGAAAACGCCGTCGTCGATATGCTCGCCACCAACACGCTCTTGGCGTCGATGCAGCGCCGCCCGGCGCCGGTGACGTTTGCAAATGCGTCCGACGCGGTGCTGCGTGTGCCGCCACGGACCAGCGGCGTCTTTGCCTCGAACGTCGCGCGCTGCTCGCTGACCATGGACGAGAAAGTGACGCAAGTCACGGTGACCGCATCGAAGGAGATTGACATTGCCTTTGTGTCGGTCATCTCGAGCCTCGAGCTCGTCCGCTGCCGCGGCGTCCGCGTTGCGTTTACGGGCACCTGCCGCACCATCGTGGTCGATGCGTGCGACAATGTGGAGCTCACCGTGCCGACGCAGTCGCCGGTGCGCGTCGTGAGCAGCGCCAGCACGCGACTTCTTGTCAAAAACATGACACAGCGTATAGCGTGCCCGACCTTGGCCTCCAAACCGTGACGACCTGGACGGGAAGTGCGTTCGAGTCGCAGCCGCTCGATCGGACGTAATGCGGACGATGAACCTTTGAGCGAGTGGCGCGCCGTGTGTTGTCATATGTATTACTTGTATTGAAGAGGAGGGACGTGCATCGCTGGCCTCATAACAGAAATATGGGTTGATAGCATCTTTGGAGAGGCATGCTGTAGGAATACATCGGCTTCGCGGACAGTAACGTGGTTGTTGTTGAAGTGGGTCGTCGATTACAATAGATAAAACGATGCGAAATAGAATTATTGTCGGACTTTCTTCGATGTGTGCACTCGGTTGAGGAACTTGATTTCGGCATCCGGAGGCAGGAGCGCGATCCGCGGGACGAGGTGACGTCGCGGCTACTCGTGTTGGGCGAGGAGCCGGAGAAGCCGACGAAGAGCAGGCTGCTCGGGCTCTTCAACGAGGCTGTGGTGCAAGTGTAGTTGAGCGACAGTATCGTCACGGACTCGGACTCACAAGAAGCGGAGACGGCAGAAAATGAGCGAGGCCTCGAAAAGAGGGAAAATCACCGAAACCGTCTTTCACTCAAAGCACCAGCAACAACGCGAGCTTCTAATAAACTAATCTAAACACTCCTCGTACATGAGGAGCACACGAAGTATCTCGGTCTCAACGTTGCGTGTCAGACCGCACTACCAGACAGCACCTGCTCGATTCACGTTTCGTTCTTATCCAAACCAAAAGCCGCGTGGTCGCGGGCGGGGATCTCATGGTCCTGGGAGACCGTGCTGCACCCGGAAGAGTTTGACGTGCCGCGGCGGCACGCCAAGAATTACAAGGTCTTCTACCGCCTCTGGTTCAGCCTCGTCGCCACGACGCTGCACTACATCTGGACCAACCGCAACAAGATCAAGTTCGAAGCCAAGACGCCCTTTGTCATGCCGGTCGCCGGCAACGAGACCCGCGAGTTGTGGCTCTCGTGTGTCCGCGCATGGCCGCGCAACGACCCCAAGGCACCTCGCGACCGCATCGACGCCGCCCTTCAAGATATCGGCCTCGACCCGCTCTCCCACGGACGCCAACGGCGGCCTGCACTCCGACGCCCGTGATATAGCGTCGAAGACGCGAGGGTAGACAGTAGGGTCTAGGCATACAAGACGGTGTGTGGGGAGGCATCAGGTGGCTAAATTGTGGCTAGATGGTGGCGACGTTAAATAGTGTTAGTAGAGGAGTAAAAAATAAAAAAGTAGGGCCCTGCCGATGATCGAAATCGGGACCTCCTGCACCCTAAGCAGGAATCATACCACTAGACCACAGGGCCTTCCTTACAATTTATTGTTTTGAGACGCGTTTTGTAACTATCGACACATCATATTTGACGTTTAAATGTACAAATTCGCACTTTACTACTCTCTCATAGACTATATACTCTCTCCACATCATTCTCATGCATCGCTCTTTCACAAACTACGGCCATTTCGTCCTACAAACACACTTGCAATTTTTGTCCTTTTTTGTCCTTTTCACATTTTACGCCATTCGACGACGCTTTCTGCACTCTAACTCCACTTTTTTCATGGAGATCATCTCGCATGTGCTTTTACTACTCTGACTGTATTTAGTGGACAATATTGAGACAGCAGAATAGCACACTTGCTACTGAGTCTGTGTGCTCGTTGTTGCCTTCTATTTGACGCCAAAGTGCTCGAGATCATCACTATCGTACATTACAAATTGTAATGTACGATATAAATAAATGGAGTTGGATTGTAATTTACAATCCACCTCCCTTTATTTTATTAATTTGGTCCGCACTTTGTGGTGTTTCGTGCTCACTTTTCGAAATCAGCGATAAACTGATCAGTTTTCAAGCAGGAAAAAAAGTGATATAGCGTCGAAGACGCGAGGGTAGACAGTAGGGTCTAGGCATAC